GAAAAAGGGCACCTGGTGAGCCTGAACACGCAAGACAAAGAAGCACTTGTGCAAACTGCTTTGACCTCCGTGGATTTCAGCGAATTCTGGATCGGCGCATCAGTTTGCACAAACCGCTCAAGTACTGTGCTTTATGTTTTGTCCGCAAATCCCTGGCGGAATTTATCCAGCTTTTCTTTAAATTCATTTTTTTTCCCTTTGGGGTTTTTTTTTCAATTTCAATAGGCACTTCAGTGTGGTCGGATGAATCCCCGTACACGTACTTTCCAATCAGCAGTAAAAAGGGACCGAGCAAATCCGATTGTTGTCTGAAGGTTGTTCGGCTGGCGAACAATCGGTTCGATTGGCAGGCTGACCAGTGCAATTTCCTTAAAAGTTTTTTATGTGAAACGCGTGTCAACAGTGAGAATAATTCAATTTTTTCGCTGTGGGGGTTGGTTTCGAAATTCGCATGCGACATTTAGTTTTTATACTGAAAAGTATTTTATAGAAAGCTGATTTTGTGTTCGGGCATGGGAATTAATCTGCTGCGTGTAAATCAAAGTTTGCTTATAGATTCAAGTGAAGCATGATTCATGAACACATTTTTAATTTTTTTCAAGGAAATTCGCTGCTCTGAGAGAGAAAAATCAACAAGAAAAAATAAAAAGTAAAAAGGAACCATGTACATACCGTACTTCAATTCGATCTTCATAAGTGTTTTCGAGTTCAAAATGCATTTTATGGTTCATCAAGGCTTGATGGATAATCCAATTTCTAAAACCCTATCATCAGTCGTGCTTCTATTTCAAAATATAAAATTTGAATCCACTATTGTACTAAATCAAATGTAAAACGCGAACTCTCGCGGAAATTAATTGTAAAACAGGGCATCTTTCATCAAATTTCGTCGAAGATTTGCAAGGGATGGTATTGTATGATTCCTTTTGGCTATAGAGATTCTTTGGAAATAAAGTAAATCATTGAAGTTTCCAGCAATACAATTTTACAGTGCAGGTACTGTAATTCAAGGTTGCAGGAGCATTCAGATAAATTTCCATCAAAAATTAAAGATGTATCAGAAAAGATAGAAGGGGTATTTGAAATGAGATTGTACGTATACTATAAAACAATCATTTTACGTCTCCAATTTAAATTGCGGCGTGAAGGAGCGTTTAACCTTTGCTGACGAAACGTTTTTAATGGTTTGTGTTTTAAAAAACGAGCCTCCGATATAGTGACACAATTTCTGAATGAATGACAATTTCCTCATGAAATCATTCGATTGTTAATCTGGACTCTGATTTCATCCCACGCGCTGGAGATAATTATGACGCCGCGCTGAGCTTGACATGATTTCAATCATCATTATTCGTTTTTATCGGGTTAAAGAATTGACGAGTGACATGGTGAACATGAGCCTGGCGAACACAACTGCGAATGCCACCGTGTTCAGCTGGAGCACTTCGGGCACCAATTGGGAACCATCCCGGATTCGCGTGCAATTTTGCAGAGTGGAGGACTTGAAACCCGCGGGACCCTTCACGCCTCCGAGTCTCCGTCGCACCTGTTTCAACTACACAGTGGACTCGTTCAAGGGCAAGTCGTTGGNGAGGACTTGAAACCCGCGGGACCCTTCACGCCTCCGAGTCTCCGTCGCACCTGTTTCAACTACACAGTGGACTCGTTCAAGGGCAAGTCGTTGGTTCTTGCCGGGCTCGACGACTTGGTCATTTATGATGTCAAGGCCCATCCGGTCGTGGACGGATTCCCCGTGGTCGACCCACCGATTGTGCAAAGGATAACCACTGGTAATTACTGAGCAATTAGCTGGTACTGCTGCTGCTGCTGCTGCTGGATGACGATGGTCGAATAATGGTTATTTTGTAGGTTAATGAGTGCCCAACAATGAGTTCAGGATTTTCTGATGATTGATTCGACAGAAACATCGTAGATGTCGCTTAAATCAGAGGCGACTTCTCAGGCGTGTAACCGGGATATTGTTGAGTCATCAAGAGCACCTTCTGCTGCTGCTTATATATAGATTAATAAAAAGCATAAATGTTGTTCTTCAAAAATATATTTCTAAATGTAGATCTTCGACACATTTTCTTCGTTTCGGCACATGCTTCATGCATATGCCCCAAAGATTTGAATAAAAAAAGTGGATTGATGCGCAGCATCATACACAAGTATTGTAAAAACCTTTCGGCAAACTTTTCAAAATTCTTGCGTGCATTATGTTGGAGTCACATTACAGATAACGTATATTAGAGAAAAAATTAGATGCATTTGAATTCTTCTTTTATTGAAGCATGAATTGATCATTCCAACTGATGCAATGCTTGAATTTTTAAAATTTGTCGCTGAAAAATGCGGTGAACGTACTTTTTGGGGAATCCATTACACATTAATTTTTTAGCTAACAAATTGTGTGTTTTATGCAAAAGCACTTAAGACGTGATCGAACATATGGTACATCTCATATCCAAATGTGTTTAATGCTCTTGGTTTAAGTTATGTTGGGTTGTATTTTAATTTTATTTAATATTACGTTTACTCACATAATCACATTGGATTAGGGTCATTTTTGGTTCAGCAGATGATTTATTTCGGTATTTCTGGTTCGATTCGAGTTTCGAGTGACACCTGCCCGGGATTCCAGAAAGCTGCACCTGACTTCAGAGCACAAATAAAATAAATTAATCGTAAAATTGACGCTTTTATAACTCCGAATAAATTGGAAAATTTTGTTACTTATTCCGAAATGAAGAAATTTCCTGTCTCGATGTATTTCAGAGAAAGAAATGGGAATCCACATATTCTTGGATTTCGAATAACTGCAGAGAATTTCCCGTTGTGGGATTTGAAAGCTCTTCGTGATTCTTTCGTGAATTTCAATGAATGTTTTTAATCTCCTTTTCGAAAACAGCGCCGTCGAGAGAAGTTTATTATTTCACCACCCCAGAAGGAGTGACAACTGTAACTTGGGCTACTTTGGTTAGTCAAGATCAAGAGGATTATCCAGTGCAAGTCAGCTATTGTTTGAAGGACAAGAATAATTGCGAGACTGTATCTGGAACGGCATTGAGCACAAAGATCGGGAAATTGGAGTTTAGCAAATCTTACAATGCAACAATCACCGAGACCAACGGCTTGAAACGATCAACGAATTTTCAATTCGTTTCAGGTACGCATCGGGATTTAAATTTTACAGCATAAATATGATAAAATTCGAAGATTCAATACATGAAAACATTTCATATAGGGACTATGTGCACCTCAACCGAGTTTCAAACGACGTCCAAGGACTGTTTCTGGGTGCGACAAAAGTTGTTCGTTTATCTGGACGCGTTGAATATGTGCAAAGAGGCTGCAGGAGGACAGTTGGCAACGCTGTATAGCTCGCTTGAGGAAGAATTGGCGGCGAATTTGAGCAAAAAGTACTCCCGAGACCTGTGGATTGTTGAACGAACCTTGAGACGCAAACGCCAAACAGATTTCAGCGAGGGAGACACTTCGGAATCTCAAGGTAAGATTTCTTATAATTTCGGTCAAATACGTTTCGATCTTTACAAAAGAAATTTTGCTGCTCAAAGACGACGGATATTCTCCATTATTTCTTATATCAGCATTCAAGGGTTAGACTTTTTTTTCTTTGGTATCCTCTTCTCTGAGACCGTTCAATCGGTTTTATGTGCCATAGGGTTTACATGGAAAAATTAGCGGTAGCAACGAATTGAAATCATGATGATCAAGCAAAAATGAAGTGATAGCCAGATGTTGACAAATATAGTACTTCGCACAGCGTAGAATTTTTGCGCATCCCATTCCTACAGAAAGCAATAAGTTGTGCTGAACATGAACATTCTTGAACAAAAATTAATTTATCTTGGCATTTTTTGTGTCTGCCAGAATTATTTTCAAAGTGAATATTATTATTTATTTAAAGAAATCGAGGGCAATCAACATTATTTCAATATTGCTCCTGTTGCTCTACTTGTATATTTCAGAAAGTTGAAATATACACTATACCGTAAAGATTCTTTATATACAGACTTTTGTCATTATGCCTCCGGGGTCTTCTTAGGAAGGTGGATTAATAAAATTCTGAAAATGGTTTTATTCAAATTGAATGATTCTGGAAATCGTAGAATTTTTCTGAAAAAAATGAAAACAACACGAAAGCTGAAATGCTGAATTCGGGCTGAAAATTCGATGCTAATATACCCATCAGCTGCTGAAATACGGAGTGCCAATTCCAGTCTGAATTTTCATTCGGACGGCGTTTGATTCCAAATTGTTTTTTTTTTTTGGACCTCGACATATTTTCGTGTCAAGTATTTTATTTCAAAGATGCGCTTGAAAAATTCCGCACTTTCGGAATATTTAATTTTTTGAAGGCATTGTTTTATACATTTTGCACACTATTTTTTGCAGATGTTGAGGTAATCGGAGTTGGAAGCACTGACAGCGTCTGTTGGGCAATAGGAGTTAATTCACAGCTGAGAGAAAACGTCACTGACTGCAGAACTTCCAAAAAAGCTGCTTTGTGCCATCGTTCTATTGCGGGTAAATTTTTTATATTGAAAAAAAACGCAATTACTTGCTTCTAAAAATTATCCCCAGTTTTTCCATCTAATTTATTCTAGCTCGAACGGGAATGCCGGTGACTCAGTTAGGTTCCCAATCATCTTTCAAAATTGAGAGGCACTCGAAAGCTGCTAAAATTGGCTGGATATCAGACCCTTCTTCCTGGAAAGCGAGTTTTTCAATCACCGTTTCGAAAAATAACCCAGGACAGCAGAGCAGACGTAGAAGATCTATCGAATCCTTCGGCGTTTTCGATGCTGTGGAAACCTCGGGCTCCGTGTCCACGATTACAAAAGATTTCAATTCACCGCCAGGTATAAGAAGCAATAGACTGAAAACTCTCAGAAAATCTTATATTCAACTTTTTTGTTTTGTTTTAATAATCTTTTGAAAGTCGTGCTGGAAGGACTCGAGCAAGGCGTGAGTTACACGGCGTCGATTACGGGAGATATTGGGGCAGTTAGTAAGGAAAGAAGTGGATCTTTCACAATTCCCGGAGAAATAAACGTGGACAATGTCAGTCTTTATCCATTTCTGGAGGGTTTGTTATTTGAAACTATTCAATAAAATAAAATTACAATCATTAAATTTCAAGCTTGCCACGAACAAAGCTATGGAAATTCTCTGGAATCTTGTGACCGCCTTCATGATCGCCGTTTGCGTCTTGGGAATTATGACGTATGTCGCCAGTGGGTGAGTTTATGATTGAATTTTCACTTTGAAAGTTTTTAAAATTAAGAAATCCTTGCCTTTTTCGTAATTCAAAAATATTTTTCAGTTAGTGTGAGTTCCCCAGATTCTAAACATGCCTCCTGAATGTTAACAGCATTATTGAACTTCGATTGTCGACATAAACTTATACAGTACAGTACCTGCAGCCTATAAAAAATATAAAGGTTAAATAATTTTAGATAATATTTTTATCAAAGATTATTCACGATACGTCACAGGTCTGATTCAAGATAAGAAAATCCATCAAGATGATTATAAGAAACTGTGCATCAAGAATGACTGTCCAATGTATATCAAGTGGTGAAAATTAAGGTATATCCTGAAAAGATAAACTGCATAGTCATAATTGTATATTGTGAATGCTTCAGTCTAGAAACATGTTCATATTGTTCATAGAAATCGTCAGAAAAATGTCCGTTTTCCTTTTTCAGAATTGAACTTAATGTACTTGTATATATGCGAAAATCGTTTCTTCGTGTACACCGCGAGACGTAATTTTATGAGCAGAATGAGCAGTACATGTTCTTTAGTGTATTATTTGAAAAAAAAAAATGTTTCTAATATTAGGGTTTACAAAAAATGATAATTTATTCATCGGATGGAATAAAATGTTTTATCTGATAAACACAGGGCGTATTTCTTCGACGTAGTGCTGGAGATTGGGATGCTTTTGAGCCTGTTTGTCGCCAATCTCGTGTTGCTCGTCAAGCCTCCTTATCAATTCATGGTATGTTTGATACCTCGTCAGAAAAGGAAGAAATAAAAGTATCCCGAGTGGAATATGAGGTGACTGTTTTGATGTTTATCTCGGATCAACAGGGAAGTTGTGAATCGGTTGCACATGCCTTGCACTTCCTGTTCATTGCTGCCTGTGCAAATTTGGCAGCTGAAGCGGTCACTGTGTACCAAAGACTGCACAACGATTTGAGCACATACGGCAAAAGGACTCAGTTTGGGATCCTTGGCATTGTTTGGGGCATCCCAGCGATAATGACAGGCATTATGGCTGGGGTCAAATCTGAACCTGGGTTGACTGATCCGTTGCAACCTGTGTGAGTTGGAGCTGACGAGTTTTGGACAAGATTCGTCCAAGATTTTTCGTTCAGAATCTTGAACATTTTTAACGAAATTATACTTTTATTTCTTCCATAATTATTCATATATCTTTGAGAACCCATATATTCATCAGAGAGGTTCAGTGATTTCAAAATGTTTTCTTTCTTGATGAATTTGCGAATCACTGATCGACTTGAAAAGGATTCGCTTTCAAGAATGAGGTACTTTCGGAATCTCTGAATATTTTCATGCGCAATTATTGAGTCTTTAATCCAATCAAAATGATCTGCAGTTCACGAAGAATATATTGTAAATTTAGATTATTTTGAAAAGTGGGAGACGCCTTAAATCAATCAGTGAACATATTGAAAATATTGTACGCATTGAATACGTTAATGTATTTTTCCGCAGCAGAATTTCCCTATGATTATCATCAATCTGACTAAGTTTCTTAGCAACACTAAGATAATGATCATTAATCAAACACTTCTCATTTGAAGGAATAGAAATCTGTTTGCTGCAGTTCAGTAAAATTCGATTTCGCCTTTACAAATAAACGCTATGAAGTACTTTTCACAGAAATGTTCAGTGCTTGAATAACCTCTCTGTTCAAACTGCTCAATACAGTTAATTTCGTGGAAAGGAAAAAAAATGCTGTTGGTAATGAATCATTCCCATTCCTCGTCTCACTTATTCTAGAAATTTTTGAATGAATCAATCCTCAAATTAAATAAGATCAAGAGTTCACAAATTCACCGCTGTCACTGATGAAGGCTTGACAACTTCCTCAGATGCTCATGTTGAAATTTCTGACCGACCAGATTCTCTAAATTTTTCTAAAAAAAAAAGACTGATTTTCTTCAAACGATGCATCGCATCATTTTCTAACGTTTCGTGTAATTTCATTTTGAAGTCAAAAGGTAAATCCCACAATGATTGCATGAAGACCAATTTTTCAAATTTTGGTCGGCCATCTCTTGAAGAAAATAAATGTAATAATATCCTGTTTGAAAGGATTAGGTCNCGAGTGGAATATGAGGTGACTGTTTTGATGTTTATCTCGGATCAACAGGGAAGTTGTGAATCGGTTGCACATGCCTTGCACTTCCTGTTCATTGCTGCCTGTGCAAATTTGGCAGCTGAAGCGGTCACTGTGTACCAAAGACTGCACAACGATTTGAGCACATACGGCAAAAGGACTCAGTTTGGGATCCTTGGCATTGTTTGGGGCATCCCAGCGATAATGACAGGCATTATGGCTGGGGTCAAATCTGAACCTGGGTTGACTGATCCGTTGCAACCTGTGTGAGTTGGAGCTGACGAGTTTTGGACAAGATTCGCCAAGACTTTTCGTTCAGAAAACTTGAAAATTTTTTATGAAATTATACTTGCATTTCTTCTATAATTATTCATATATCTTTGAGAACACATATATTCATCAGAGAGGTGCAGTGATTTCAAAATGTTTTCTTTCTTGGTGAATTTGGATGAGTCACTGATCGAATTGAAAATGATTCGCATTCAAGAATGAGGTACTTTCGGAATTTCTGAATATTTGTATGCGCAATTATTGAGTTTTTAATCCAATCAACATTTTCTGCAGTCCGCGAAAAATATATTGTAAATTTAGATTATTTTGAAAAGTGGGAGACGCCTTAAATCAATCAGTGAACATATTTGTCAGGCCGATTGATGACAAATAAATGTAGAAAAAGGAATAGACGCAGTCACTCAGCCTTTAACGGCCGGATCCTCTTTAGCAGAGTCCCTTTAGAAAATAGCAGCTTTATCTACACAAGCACAAACCACAGAAGGACCAGAAGTACCCAGAGGTACAAACAATCGCGCTAGGACGCAAACAGGCTCAACCGTAGTCAGGCAAAACACACACATTCTCAGGCAAGGCTCTCGAGACGTTCTGTTCTTCTCCCAAAGCCCCGAAGGCTTTGGGTGCCGGCTTTCGCTGCCGGAAATAACTATCTTTGTTCTTGACCCGGTTTACCGCAATGCGGTAAACCAGGTGCCCTATCCGCTTCCGGGTTTTCGTGCAGGTGTTGCTGCGCGGTGTACCTGAGCGAGGATGCTGCGCTCGGGTTGCCGCGTGGACGCGACCCCACAATATTGAAAATATTGTACGCATTTATTACATTGTTCAATACAGTTTATTTCGTGGAAAGGAAAAAATGCTGTTGGCACTGAATCATTCATATTCCTCGTCTCACTGATTCTATAAATGTTTGAATGAATCAACCCTCAAATTAAATGAGATAAGGAGTTCACAAATTCACCGCTGTCACTGATGAAGGCTTGACAACTTCCTCAGATGCTCATGTTGAAATTTCTGACCAACCAGATTCTCTAAATTTTTCTAAAAAAAAAAGACTGATTTTCTTCAAACGATGCATCGCATCATTTTCTAACGTTTCCTGTAATTTCATTTTGAAGTCAAAAGGTAAATCCCACAATGATTGCATGAAGACCAATTTTTCAAATTTTGGTCGGCCATCTCTTGAAGAAAATAAATGTAATAATATCCTGTTTGAAAGGATTAGGTCTGGAAAAGAATCATGAATGTTTTCCGGATATAAATACCCTTCTGCCAAAATGTATTACTGTATTAACCCTTTAATTTTATTGTGCCCTTGTTTTAGATGAAAATAGTTTATAGATTACGCTACAGTACTTCGAGCTACACCGAGTCGCATAAAACCGTTTTTTTTTTCTTGCAGGTGCTGGTTGAAAATTGACAGACGTTCGTTCCACTTTTGGTGGTCAGTTGTGCCGATTTACGGCTGCATCAGTGTCCCACTCATGTGCGGAATCCTTCACAAGTACAAGCAAAAACTACAAATTGCAGAAGCTGGCGGAAAGACCAGGAAGTGGACTGAAGGAGTCGACGGTTGGAATGATGCCTTGAAAAGGACGATGTGAGAATATAATCGGAGAACGGATTTCCAACCGACGCATTTCCAGAAAGGGTTCAATCTTTTTTTTTTTTTTCCTTTTCCGGTTCAAGGACTTATAACGTGACGTGGTGGACATTGATTGTAAATTCGATGCTTTTGGGCGTTTACTGGGCAATGGGTGTGGCGACCATTCAAGACAGTCTGAACGTGACGACACGGATTATTTTCTTCATCTTCTGCATTATTCTGGGCGTCGCCCTTCTCTGTTCAAGAGTCCTGGTCGATCTAGACGTGAGTTTCCCTTTTTAATTATTTTATTGCAAAAAATTCAAAGAAGTTTTTTTTATAAGAAACTTATCGGCAGGACTTGAAAAAACTGCTGATTACCTTCATGGTATCGTACCTTCGGAAGTTACCGACTATAGATCAGGTCATTCAAGTCTGAGTCTTATGACTGACCTGTGCCGCAGATTATTCTCATTAAACTCGAAAAAAATCACCACAGAAAATTTAACAATTTACATGGATAGAAAATTTGTACGCATGAAAGCTAGTCCTATTAATTCATGGTTTCAAAACTGTGATTGATTTTCAGGTGAAAAGTGGTTTGAAGGACAAATGTTTCCGAAGTCGAACAGCAACGAAAACACCCTTGACACCATTTTCGGAACAGAAGAATGGAAGACCTTTTGTCATTGGAGGAATTCACAAAGAAGACAAAACAATTGGAGCAGGACAAGGAATTTCGACAAGTAGTGCTGCTTCGGATTCGTCGTCGATCGGAAATCAAATCGGACCAAACGAATTCGTACTATTCAAGAAATCATACAACTTCAATTGAAAGCTTTGAAAAAAACGTAATTTTCCGTCATGGGCATTAATGAAAGAAGATAAATTGAAAGAGAGATTTTATATTTTGAAGCCGAAACGGTCAACTTTTTTTCTCATTAACAGTCGGTTTTTATTCCCGTTTGTTTGTTTTTGAAAAACATGTCTCGAGATTTTCCAGGAAATGATGGTAATAAACGTTTGATACTCACATTGTCGAATTTTTCGCACACTTTATGGTTTTTGCCACACAAAAAAAGTAAAATCGAGCGCTTTGAGTATAAAAAAATAATATTTTTCAGTCCGCAATATATCCAAACAATTTTGACCTTCTGAAATTTTTGTGCGAATGCAGCAAAACGCGTCAGTAGGTACCTTCAACATTTTGCAAAATTACACTCCCCGATCAGATTTAAAGCACTCAAAATTTCGGCATGCGAACTTTCCCGAAAATCGGCAAATTTGTGTAAGACGCATTCGCTCTTTTTTCACTTGCAAAGGCTTCCCACTCTTTTCTAACTTTAGGATCCTTCGGTCCCCAGTCGGACGCAGGTTTCAGAGCATTTCCCAGGGACTGTATTCAAAAATGAAACAAAAAATTGGATACGAATTCAATGTTTTAAAGGATTGAGGACTCACCCCAACTTTTTTGGCGTATACGAGACCGAGTGCAGGGACCATAATAATGATCCCACTCGTCACAAGCCATCCAATCACTGAGAGAGAAAAAATTGAAATTTATGCAAACAATTCCAATTGCGTTAAAAGCTTGAAACTTCAAGTGGTGTTTTTAAAATACCTGTCAAGTAAGTAGGGTACGAGTAGCCAGAGACGGAAAGTTGCTCCAGATTGACATTTTTGTAAATGAAAATCGTCAGAATGGACAGCGGAATCATGAAGAACCAGCATATTTGATAATAATACCCGGGCCGTTGCTTCGTCATGAACTCGATATCATCGCAGATATTGTTCACGCCTTTCGGAAAAAAAAAATTAGCAGTCATCTCTCAGCGTTCTTCTCGTTTTCATCATTTTTAAGAATTTAAGAAAATAGGTTCAATATAAGAGGAGTGCAAAACTTGCCATAGGCCCACGCGATTCCAGCGCCTTCCAAGAACACCAAAAGGAAAACCACGAAGCTACTCCAGTAGTAGTCGACCCAAATGAACATGTATTGTCCACCCTGCGATCGAAGATTTCACTTAATTCCTTAGTTTACTTCGTTTTTTATTTTCAGAATTGAACAACAATCGTCATCTGAGCTATGATGAATTAATTGCAGATTCACGAACAAATAAGCGCAGCGCGCGAATAAAATGCCGCACATCAATAACTTTTACATAATATAATGTACTAACAAAATTCCAGTATTTTTCTTGTGAATAATATTATTTATTCTGATTTTAGGGAGATTTAGGGCATTTTCCTTGGCATTTGACAAAATTACTGGGCTAAAATATGTCAGAATATACGAAGTTATTACAGGTCAGTACATTGTAGCATTTGATGCTCTAATATTCCTTTTTTTCGTAATTTTTAGTCTGGAGTGAAGGAAAATACTTGCAGCTCTTTGACCAAAATTGTATTTCTCGCTATTTTTTATACTTTAAATGTTTTACTACGCTTCTGAGAACCAACCAAAATAACTTCGATGTCATTCTTGTCGCAGGAAAGTTTGACCGCAACCTTTTGTCAATAAGCCACTTACCTAGTACCGAATTTTTGTGAAAAAAAGCATTGAGTTTTCGATTTAAAAAACGATGTTACCGCATAATATCGAAGTACAGTGTTCTCCCATTTTTCAGCATAATTTTACTCACTGGGGTGCAATACATGAGTCCAAAAAGGAAACATCCTCCACAAAGCAAAGCCGTGACGATGATCCTGTTCAGCTTGGGATACTGGTCGCAAATAATCGTCACAATCGAACTGACCATTGACACTGCACTGCCAATCCCGAGTGTCAGCAGCATGAAGAAGAACAAAACTGCAAAAAACTAAATCAGGAAGGAAATTTTGCTGTTGAGTTGTACCAACAAAAAATTCTTATTTCCGAGGCGATGTCGGGGGAAAAACACAGAATTAGTCAATTCTATGCTCTTCCCGAGGAAAAATGCAAGACATCCAGGACATTATTGCCAAAATAACTTCCAGAAAATGGCAAGAAAATGTCTTAAATGCAATAAAATTTTGAATGAAAGTCTGTTGTTTTTTTCATGGACTGCCGACAGATGTCAGCTTGAGAAGGAGGAAAAAAAATGTGTATCAATCGCGATCGAATCATAACGGTCGACCCCGCAAGTTAGTTTCTATCTCAATCTTTCTGGATGATACCACAGTATATAATAGACCTCATTGTCAATTTTAAAACTCGAAATTTTTCGTCAGAAACTTGTTTTCAAGAGAAAGAGAAAATCTTGGAACAGTTCTTTTGCTTTTATAGAGAGAAGCCCATCATTTTAGTATGAATGATGAATCAAGAAGAAAATACTGTACTGCATATAAAGAAAAAGAAAAATTGCGTTTATCCATTATGAGTATACAGTACAGTACAGTACAGTATTTGTGTTTCTGAAAGGATGTTGTATTTTATTTTATATTTCACGCTTTGTGTGCCATTTTGAACTACGGTAACTGACAATTGAGTAGTTCGAAAAAAGTAGGCATGAGGACTTTTGGCTGATGCTAGTAAAATAGCCTTTTAAGTTGATGTATCACATATTATGAAATGCATTTTTTATCACGTTGAGATGACAGCAACATTTTCCACTTATTTGCATTTGAAAACGGAGTTTTTGGTCATCGTGAAGTCAAAAAAAAAGTTTCCTTCCTCTTTAGAAATCTGTCAAAAGGATCAAACACGCGTTTATAATTTGATCAGCGTCGAAGAAAACAACGAAATTTATTATAATGAAATGCTTTCGAAAATATTTGAAGAATTATAATTTTTTTCTTAGAGTTTACAATTTATATTCCAATGCTGAATAAAACAGCATTCTGTTTGAAGTTGACTTACTTGCTGCACTCCAGTGCCACCAAAACTCGTCATGGCATCCGGATAAGTGATGAACGACAATCCTGCATCAGATGTAACCACTTTGTCCAAGTCCACACCAAGTCTGTCTGCCAAATGTCCAATTACAGCGAATGTGGCAAACCCAGACATCAAACTTGTGGCTGTGTCCAGCAAACTGATGATCAACGTGTCTCTGTTCAAGGAAAAGCGTATTTAGCCAGTATAAAAAAATTAGAAAAAAATTCTTTGTTGAAGGCATTGATTTTCACATGTTGACAAAAGATGGTGTCGAACATTACCTGTAAATTGGATGATCAAATCGGTTGAAACTGGCGTACATTGTGGTGCTTCCAAATCCCACAGCGAGAGAGAAGAAGCACTGAGTAATCGCCTGATACCAAACCTTGAAGAATAAAAAAGTTAAGACCAATTTTAAGATTTAAAAACATTTTGCAAGTGAACAAATACTGTACTATACATCATTAAATGATACGAGGGTTGTTAAAAATCCGCGACGGTTTCGATCTTCAAAAAAGGTCAGGGTGGAGTGAGACAAATATTTTTCCAAACGGAATACATTTAGACATTTTTAGGATATTTTAAAAATTCTGTTCGCCTTTGAGAAATTCTTCTATAGGGAACTAAAAATAAAATGATGAACCTAGCATTTGTAAACATTATTTCTTTATGTACCACAATGTTTGTGTCAAGATTTTCTGATTATATGGGACATCAATGCCAGAGATATTTCAAATTTCTTACGTGCCAAATTGAACTCAGCCACCTGATTGCGAAATATTTTCACTCATAGGTTTTGTTGAAAAAATAATGTGTTCAACGCACACAAAATTTTCCAGTTGAAACCCTGGAAAGCCGCTTTGTCATTTTATTTTATTTTTCACCTCTGAAAATGTTCATGAAATCAACCTTTATGAAAGCTAAGCTGCTATGATATTTTTCATGGCAATTTCCCTTCCAATTCTGGAATTAGCACTTATTGAACCTTTATACTTTGAGAGTGAGACGAATTGACAATAAATATTTCCAAAATTTCTCACATTATTACGGCTGCTGAATTTTACGGGGTCCGAGTATGATTCTTTAAAATTTACCCACCAAAAAAATCGCATAAAAAGTGATATGTTTACTCAATGAGTATGTGGAACTTTATCTTCAAGGAAAATTCCTGGATATTCGATATTTGCAACATTTCTTGCTCGGAATCAAGAAAGACGGCAAATACTATAGTTAATACACTGCAATATATATGACTTTACTCCGCAAACCCGGTCTTTTCTTCCTTCAAAAATCGGGAAGTAAATTTCAATTTATAGAATCTTCAAATTTGACTATTTCTGTCTAATTTTCTTGGGGATTTAGCTGTGTAATGCAATCATCTTGTCTGATGACTGCGGATCATGCGCTGAAAATGGTTTATTTTCGAACCTCCGGTTCGGCAAGTTTTTCCCACTGAGGTGTGATGAAGTATTTTATTCCTTCTCCAGCTCCTTTCAGCGTCGCTCCTTTGATCAAAAACGTGATCAGCACGACATAAGGGAACATGGCTGTGAAATATGCGACTTTCCCGGAACTTTTCAACCCTCTGGCAAGTGTCAGAAAAATAACAGCCCATGCAAACGCAATGCAACCCACGAGCCGCCAATCCAAAGCCCCGAGGCCATCATCCACTCCGACATCCGGACTTGCTTGGTTCAAGACGTAATTTCTGTCAAGAAAAGAAAAGTAATGCTTCAACTTACAAGAAGCTACATATTTTGCAAAATCACGGAATTCTCGAGTTTTCGATGTCCCCATCGGATTTTAATGACATCGATGAATGTTGAAAAAAATTTGAATCATGCGTGAATAACTGCTGTTTCCGACTTCTGAACTCCGAGTTGTCAGCATCCGAACGGAAAAACAATTGGATATTCTTCGCCTTTTTCGGGATATTCTCACAAAATACAGTATTTGAAAATCGTTTCTCCCTTTTGCCAAGTACAAAACAACATATAGTACATTATGCGATTCCATTTAATTTAAATCGAGCGTCAATAACTTCCCGAAGGCGAGAAAGATTTTCCTCCGAGTGACATTAATCTCGTTCGTCGGTGATGAAACGTAATTCTTCGCTGAGTTTTTCACGCGGTGTGCTTATTCATTTCGTTCTGAAAGAAGTACTACCTGGTATTGAGAGGAAGGAAATAGTTTTGAACATGCTTGAAATTTTTCGAATCGACAGCAAACAGAAAGTACGTGACTTACACGAAATACTCTTCGGGAGCGGACTTGGAAAATTTGCTGTTCGTGCCGTTATTGCGCGAGTCGGCGCAATCCTCGTCAGCCCACGAATCGTCGCAAAATTGCCACGGGAGCGGGTTTTTGAAAGAAGCGAACATGTAAAACACTGTGATCCCCATCAGCAGGCAATAATAGGTGGCTGTAGACAATGTTGCAAACATTTGGCCGAATCCGACTCCTGCAACAAACAACAAAAATCAAGCGAATACTGTATATAGACATTCCGAAGATGAGATTCGTTTCAAATAAGAATCTGAGCCCCTCCTCAAGAAAGCCTCTTGATATTTTCCAAAATATCTTGAATATGAACCGTACCGTGAAAAAAAACCATAAAATGTCTTTGAAATAACGCACAGTACAGTATTACATTTTTAAAAGAAAGAAATCGTTGCTCCACTGGATACAAAAATACAGTAGCTAGTAAATAAAATTCACGTGTTTATTAATCAATTTATTCGCTAGGCTTATTTTGCCACTGACATCAGGCTTCCATGAGGTATTACTTCCAGCCACAGAATAAGTTCACACCATTCTGGTACAGTATATTCATTTACAGTACAGTAGTTCAGGAATATTTTTCTCACATTTCCTCCAATGAAAGATGAGGTGTTTCCTGATAATAAGTACAGTAAAATATACTGTAGCTGTCAGTTTGATTTTTTGGGAATATATAAATGCAAGATACTCGTATATTGTAAAGTAGAAAATGTTAAAGTCTTATGAGCTTGAACAATTCGATTCGAATCGCAAAACTGGAAATGAGTTTCTTATCTATCCGACATTTTTCAATGATTGACGTATCAAACGAAGATATTTGCTGAACCATTTTATTTTTCTAAAAGCTACAGAATTGAAAGACGACAATTTTTCCGAATGTTCGAATGGAAAATGCGTCAAATTTAAAAAAATTCGAATATATGTGAGTGCTTTTTTATCCGAATTATTCAAAGTTTAACAATGTTTATGAAACTAATTCAAGTTTGCGGCCCCAATCTAGGAGTATAGTTTTCTATGAATATGAGCCAACTTTTAAGTAATACCGTCGACTCTTTTGGGTTCCGCGATGAGGTTTTCAGATACCTAGAGGAAAATTATAAGTTTTATGAGCTACTGAGAGCGACGGAACATCACAAAGTTGCCGAAATATACTCGCGGATTTTGTTTTTTGCGCAGAATAAACTGCACGGAAAATACTGTACAGCATACCTGAGAACATGGGCGACAATTTCCAGACTTTCACACCACCGTAACTGGAAAACTGACCGATGCAGAGTTCCAAGTAGTACAGGGGCTTGCCCACCAAGAAAAGCACAACCAAATATGGGATCAAAAAGGCTCCGCCGCCATTTCTGTACGCGGTGTAAGGAAAACGCCACACGTTTCCCAGTCCAACTGACATGGCGATGCAGGACATGAGGAACTCGATCGGGTTGCTCCAGGCTTCTCTTTCCCGACCTGCTTCCATGTCCTGGGACGAAGAAGTCGTCGACGACTTTCTGTCTGCTTTCTATAAGCAAGAAGTATACAGGGAGACCCCAACATGTGGACGTATAATTGGTGCATCAAGAGTGTCCCTAAGTTGAGTCTCAATCTCCCTTTGACTTACATTATATAAATTTTTAATTGGTGCTTTATGGCCAAAATACTCATAATAATTCGATTTAAAAAATTGTCTCTCGATTGATACTGATTCAACCAATATCTTTCAACACAATATGAACATTTGGAGCATGATGGAATTCTGATACTTCTGTAAAGTACATATAGAAATGCTGGCATTCCCTGTAAAAAAAAAAAAGAAACATTCAAGTGAAAAAGAGAGAAGGAAGTCCCTCTATGCTGGAGGTAATTTTTTTAGTTAGCTAAATGGATGGAAGAGAGAAATGCCAAAGAACTTTTCTTACATCAATTTTAGGTTTGGAAATATATGTTTCTTGTAAATTGGCCTGAAACGTATTTACAATTTTATCACAGAATGTCCATATGTTGAGCCAGTGTCCACATGTTGGGCCTTTTTTATTGATTTTTTTATGGGAAAATAAGTGTTCCTATGTTGAATTGTCTGCATGTTGAAATGTCCACATGTGGGGGTCTTACTGTATATATATACAGATGGTACCTTGCAATTCAACTGAACTAGGGTCAAATTGAGAATTGGTCGAATTGAGAATAGGTCGCAGAAATTTCCCTGCTGGTTTGTTCCACTTTGAATAATGGGGATGTTTGAGAAAAATTTAACAATATTTTTCGGAAACTCATTGAAAAAAAAAAGTTTCGTATTCCCCTTCAAACCCAATTATTTTGCTTCTTCTTCACCAGTCGATCAATATCATAATTTTTACCACCTTGAAACATCCTGAATCAATAGAAGACTTTCCGGAATTACGAATTATACAATCTTGAGCTGCATTTTTTTGGTATACCCGCACAGAAAACTGGAAAAATCACATTTTTCAAAATTGCGGAAACACAAGGAACCAAGTTCATGGCAGGCTTCATGATAAAGTTATTGCGGGCAAAATATTGCACTTCAGACTCTGAAATTTGGATTCATTCTAAGGGATATCAACTGTACTTTGCTTGAACTTGAAAATTAGGCTACTTTTTGAGCGTGTAGTACGAGAAAAAAAAAACTGTACCGATTTCAGGAGGGGAACCACACATTATGACTCTTGCGAACAGCTTTCGACATTTTATAATCATGTTCGTGTGACGGAATCCATTCCATCTTTATCATTGTTCATAAGCAAGTACACGTTCAGCCTTCATCATGTCCTATAATTGGGTCGCATCGGAAGCTCTTCGAAATAATTTGACGAATTTTTCAAAGCTTTGATTCAAAAGTTAGTGATTTTTTTCTACTGTAGTAATATTCGCCGTAGGAATACTGTAGCATGCCGAATAGGTTTGGTTCTCTTATAGAACTTACCTTAATCATTGATGTGACATTGACGAATTACTTGGAGGTTAAACGCAAAATTTAATATAAATTCAAATTTTTAATCATGTTTGACGAATGAAATTTTCCATCTTTTCATTCTCTCATTCAATGAATTCCCGCAATAAATTTCATATCCGTCATACGACAGAAAATCGAGATGTCTTTGAAATAAATTCGATATCAGAAAGAAAAATTGGACAAAATGAGATTCCAGATAAAACTGGGATTCTGGTTTAATAAGTTGAAGTCCCATTCAGTTTAATTCAATTTCTTCAATATTTCACATGAGGAAATTGTTGGACAGTACTCTATTTATGTATTTGTATAGAAAATGTTTTTATATTGATGGTACTAAAAATCGCATGAATCGCGTTTCAGCATGATCCTGCAGAAAGTAAAAATGAAGGTACATTTGAAAAATACTGTATTGATGCTTTTAAAATTTTGCATAAATCTTTGGCTTTGTCTCTTCGGCAGGCTTTTAATTATATTCTGTACCAGCACACTTATTTTCAGGGAATCTGGACGAAAACTTATTCAGTCTCATTTTTGGACAAAATTACTTCAATTTCTCTAACAAAACTTGAACCTGTGCATATAGCAAAAAAAACAGTACCTGTCCATCCTTTGCTTCCTTGTCGATTTGAAAATCTCCACCGGGAATGGTAGAGTCAATGCCGATTTCGTCAGCATTAAAACCCTTGTTCTCGAAAGCCATTTCCGCGTTTTTAAATAATTTTTGCTCTCGAAAATAAACGCGTCACTGAAAATCGACGGCTCGAAAGACTTCGGACATCGTTCGGATGCTGAATACGGACTCGTTCAAGTCTAATCCTAGATCCAGGATCACGGAGAAGAGCCAGAAAAAAAAAAAGCATGCATCATTATTGTCATGCCTCGAATCAGCGAAAAATAAGTTTTTATCTTTCATGGCTGTCGAGCAACAATGACGAACGATGCTTAAATTCTTGCATTTCGGAATCTTGCTTTTCATCGTTTAAGATCATCGAGCAGAAGAATTCGATGTTGGAGCGCGTGTGTGACACGGGGTGACCGCTGTGCCCTTTATAGAAACAGATAGGCTCAAGAGCATGAAAAGGCAACTTTTTTCTGCGTGAGAGGGATATTTAACAGAACCTAGAACTATTTTGGTCTCACATTTCGGGAATCAGAGTCGCAAGAACTGTTCCTAAGGCCGGTTTACGAAATTCAGTATTGTACACTAAGTAAAAATAAAATCGCAATTACATTCTTCTAACATACTTTTTGATGACCATATTGTAACTCTGCATGCAGCACATTTTTTATTAAATTGTGATTGCTCTTTAGCTGTTACTATATGGTATTCACAAAATCAATGTATTATTTAATGAAGTTTAATAAAAATGTACATGTCTCAAAAATAAAATACTTTTTCCTCAATTACCAGATGCACCTTTTCTTAAAAATTGAACAAAAAATTGGGGTGCACGTTAAAATATTTACAGATAAGTGTTTAAAAATCCTATAAGTTCACGAGCGCATCAAATTCTAATGGGAAATGCTGGTCCAAAGTTAAAACACAATTTTCAAAATTGTAACAATTGAATATTACTTGAATTTATCTTCCGATCAGATCAAAATTATATTTCTGGGTTGCATTCATTTCATAATACAGTACTGCAATTTATTGTCACTAAAAAGAGGTGGGCGTATAACCCAGGGATAGGAGTTCATCAAAATTTCAAGGTGAAAGGTAATATTCAAATGCGGTATATTGTACTTATGAAAACCGTGACTTTATATGAAGCACAATTATAGGAGCACTTTCTCAAGACGATTCCGCTTCATGCAATGTTTTATTAAAACAAATTTGACAATAACATTGTACCTGTAAATTTTCCAAATATTTAAAACATATTCGATTAATCCGATTTTTTCCCACCATCGCGCACAAGATATAATTTCGAAACGTCTCCATCAGCGGCACTTTCCAAGCCTCTTAGAATTCTCTCAGCCAAACGTGGCTCACGACTTTTCTCAAACGCACTGAATATACTGTTTGTTACTCAGATAGAAACGGCTGATGTGCTCAAAAGAATTGTCTGTTCTTACTTGATACGGTGCATTTTTTTTTTTTTTTTTTTTTGCTCACTCCGTGATCCTGGATCTAGGATTAGACTTGAATTTTTTTTTTTTTTTGTTTTTTTTTTTTTTTTTTTTTTTTTGGCTCACTGACCCCGAACACGAATCGAAGACGGATCCGTCATCGTTATCTTTCAGCAGCACTCGATACTCAATGCCACGCATTAAAGGGAATTTTTTTTTAACCAACAACTAACAAAGTTCCTTTCTCCGTCGCGTTTGTCGGTGACGAACGGAATGAGTGTCGAAGCCGACGACGAGAGCAGGAAAGAAAGAGACAAAAAAGAATAATGGAAGGTTGGAAATTGCGCGACATATTCGCGCGCTCTTTTCTCCCCCACACCCGCCGTAGTCGAACTGGCTGAGAAAGGGAAGCGCGCCAATCGGTCCGTGTCAGGACTCGAGACTATAAGCAGGCAGTGTGGCCACGAAGGGAATATGGGTTGGAAGTGACGAGATGAGCAATGACAGCCCTGGAGTTCTGATTGTGCAAAAAAAAATTAAAAAATAAATAAATAAATATTACCCGAGAAAAAAAAAACTTGATGAATTTTTTGGAGGTCATGAACGCTTGAAATCCTTCTCCCAAAACTGTTGGGGTTTTATTTATTGCTAAATAAAATTACTTATCCCGAAAAATTAAAAGTTTCTATAAATGTGAGGGGGAAAAACTGTATTCTAAACCAATTTTTAAACTCTCGTGACACATTTTCAGAAGTGTGGAAATATACTGTACGGTATGTGGAAAACTATGGCCATAACGGGAAAGTTTTAACTTTTTATTGGGATTTTCATCTGAGAATAACACCGACGAATTCCCTATACAGCACAGTGAACTAAATTATTGAAGTATTTCACGTTTTTTGCCGCGGTTGAAATTATTTAATATTGGCTCAAACAGAGACAACCTTCGTAAACATCATCAGGCACTTTTGAGTCAGCATTAAAAATGTAATGTCTTAATTCTTGTGCCGCATTTCAGCCCATGCACTGTGAAATGTGTGGAAAACTGTGGCCACGAAAGGTCTTTTTTATTTTACATCATGCATTGATGAGGAGAAAATTTTTACAAATCTGAACACAATGCCAGATTTCTGCAATATCATGATCAAAATTGAAGAATTGTTTCTCATTCTTACCAAAGTTTAAAAAATATTTAATTCCACGAGTGTGGAACTGGGACAATCTTTGTAAATACATCAGCCATTTTGAGCCAGCATTCGAATGTTCATGCGTGGTAGGTCCTCTTTTTAATTTGAGTACGATGATGCGTGGCCAAATTTCAATTTTTTTTGGGCAACTTAGTTGAGTAGCTGTGTATATGATACTCGATCACCCCATTATTCTTCGACCTACAATTCTAGAAAACGTGTGATTGTGGAATTTTGACTTTACTCAGGCACTGTACATTCACTCGCGGAAATCCTGTACAGTATTACGCAATACAAATTTGCCCATCAAATTTTGAAAATTGGGCATACAGGGTACTCAAATCACAAATGAACATATACCTTCAAACTCAATTTCAAAGCGCAAACGAACATTTGAATGTGGACACAAACATTTTTTAAATCATGATGAAGCATTTCTACATTAATTAATTTCTAATAAATAAGGCGAGTTTGTTTTATTTTCAGGGGTAATTTTTAAATAATTTCCAAATAGAAAGAAAGGCCTAATAGAAACGTGATAAATGCGCCGCATTCCTTATTTGAGTCTGACATCACATTTTTTCATTCGATAATTTTTAATCATAGTCAAAGAAAACTGCATTATTATACCTTATGCGGGTATGTGTGCACTTTTCTCCATATTTTAATTCACAAAACTCGAGGTGCGTTTAATATTTGATTCAATAAAGTTGGTTGATGTTTCAACTTTGTGTGATGGATGGACAAAAGAAGCGATTTTCCCCGCATGCATTGTTTAAATAACCTTAAACGTGGTGCGCATCTATTTCATTTGTGCATATATTTTCGATTGGAGGGTTATGGAAGTCTCAAGCTGTATTTTCAATGTCTGCTAATGATTAACCTGCTATTTGTGACTTTAGGTGTGCGTTGAGCGACTGTGATATGGCTGAGTGTGAATAGTCGGGAAGTGAGCAAAATTTGAGTTGCAAAATTTGATCCGGACAAACAAACGGACAAGAAAGCAAGTTAATAAAAATGTGTTAATTAATTAAAATACCAAGGAGCCTTCATATGGTAGAACTCATCAGGTGTGCGGAACTATAAGACAAAAAACTCTGGATGTGATACTCTTTTTGCATCTACAATATGCAGAATCTGACGCTTAGCAGCACTTCATTTGAATTTTCTGTAATTGTGTTGGATTACTGGGAAAACGATACATGCATGTAGACTTGTAGAGTACATTATCTCAACTCTCTTTCATCTGCACTTTTTCACCAGTGACATCTACGTAATGTTTCAGAAACATCACAGCAGTTTCAAATGTTCCTCGCTCCAAGGCTTGAATATCCGAGCAGTCATCAAAAAAATATCAAAGCGAATTTATATGAACCATCTTTTCAACTCCATAACTTTGGCTAATACATCCCTGGAGTTCACGCCGCACCTGCACTCTAGAAGTCTAGAGAAAAATTGTAAAATCGCTGTTGAGGGAATGCCAAAAATCTGGAGAATAATCATTTTGAAAACCCTGTTTAGAAGCTGTGCGTTACCAACTTCTATTTACACAGTTGAACTGCAAGAAATTTGCAAAAAAAAATACGCTTAGGGAAGCTACCGTTTTTGTTTTAGATGAAAAGGATGAATATCCATTAAAATCGGTGCAATTCTGATCCATGAATTTCAAATGAGCTGACAGGATGTTGAACTTGGAGGAAAGGGTTACTTTATGCATAGACCGTTCAGTCGCTCGCTAACATGAAAAACATCAATGCCACAACATTTGTTTTTTTTTTCGAGTACCCGGAAAAATAACCCGAAGTCCTCCAGGAATTCGAATTAAAGAGATTTGAGGGGAAATTTTCTGATTCAAGGGAATTTATTGCATCTTGTTCTGAAAGGAATTCAGAACAGGTCTGAAAAATTCAATGTCGGGAGGTTTGAGTTTTTGAAATCCAAATGGAATTGTCGCTTCCAGCACATAAATGACATTCTTGTGCAACTATTGCATTGAGCAACTCGTCAAAAAACGAAAAAAATGACAACTTGAAGATTGCGTCATCCAAGCTTAAATATATTTCTCCTTTGCTAGTATCCAATCAATTGTTCTGACCTGCCTCGAAAGAAGTGAAGCACGAGGGGAAAAATCTCGTCCGCACAATTCGATCACGAATATGTCGCTAGCGGACAAGAAAATCATTCACGAGGGCACGAACATGACATACAGTACATTCACCTTCAGTAGAGAAGCTTTTAGAATACTGTCAACTAATCGATGAGCCTTAAAACCGGTTTAAAACGTAAAATGACCTGACCCAAGGAAACTTACACCCATTTCGCAAAACAATCTACAGCGTGATATTCAGGAGGGCTGTTGCTAGTTTTCACACTCAGCCATATCACAGTCGCTCAACGCACACCTAAAGTCACAAATAGCAGGTTAATCATTAGCAGACATTGAAAATACAGCTTGAGACTTCCATAACCCTCCAATCGAAAATATATGCACATGTGTTGACGTTAAAACCCACAAATTCAAGAAGCAACCAGGAAGGAGGAAAAGCTATGAAGACTCGGTAACTAAGACAACAACAAAGAAAAAGAACACTTCTTCCAAATTTTCTTTCGGAGGCTCAACTGAAATGGCGCACCCGCCGCCATTTTCGGAATGAATCCACAAACTCACATCACCCTTGAACGAAATAAACGGATCATAACAGACAGGAGATTAGTGAAATGCTTCCGCAAGGATGAGAGAACCGACTCTTCACTAATGAGACCTTGTACTATAGTGAGCAACACTTCTGAAAAAAACAAACCTATCATCACTGATTACAAGTATCTATATCTGAACTGAACATCGGTTATCTCCAGCACGCCTTTAAACCCCACATCTGAATTCGAAACGCCCAACATCTGAGTTCACCGCTACACAATATCCTCGGCTTTTGCAAGTATAGGCTACTTGTGTTACAATGAAAGCGCCATTGGTTCGACGGCGTTCAGACGAATGGATTGGCAAGATCAGGGTACACACGACCCCATGCGTTGTCAGCACCGGCTTGATTCATCCGCATCTCATTCAAGGTGGGTCTCGGCACTGACGCGGTTTGAAATGGATTATGAACTGGCTGAGGCGTAGCGCTACTGAATCCCGTCAGGGCGAATGGATTACTCATGGCAGAATCTGAAGAAAACACAATTCAAATGTCCCAAGTCAGAATATTGCAAAAAAAATATGTCTCTATAACTTTGCTGAGAATTTTTCCGGGAATCAACCCTCATATTCAAATATAGAAAATAAGACGACGTGCAGAAGGAACCTGAACAGAGGTAGAACTTGAGATGCCTCCGTGGAAAGTTTAAATGCCATTTTGATCTGGACAAAACATTCCCTCAATAACTTACATCGAGACTGCAGTGGGTAAGGAGACACACGAAGTTAACACATGGATAAAGAATTTTGATCTGTAGAGTAAGCGCACAAAAAATGTCGTCGAATGCGTCAAAAATATTAGTTGTATCATAAAGGAGGAAAGATCGGCGCCACAATCTTTTGAAAACTCCACCCAGAACGCAATTATTCCCCTATTCAACTGCACCAATGCTCCAACTCACCGAAAGGAACCTAGAATCATAGGAAATTTTGGCTAACTCAGGGTGAAATTAAAACATGATCGTGACTACCGGTGACATACAATCGAACAATGCAGAAGAACGAACAAATGATTGACAAAGATTAAGCCTCATTCAGGTCAAAACTTCCCATGGCATACAGTAGTAATTTGACAATTATTATACAGAAAATGCCCCGAATAATCGCTGGCAGAATGCACTCGAATAACCAATACGAGGCGAGGGATAATACAGGACAGTGTAAGTTTTCACTTAATGCAGCTACAGTATTTCGGATACACTGATGGGATTAAAAATTAGCGGAATAAAACACTATGCTTCTCTCTTACCCGTGAATGTTGATGCCGGCGTTGGTTTCGACACTAGATTATCCAAATTGACCAAAGCACTGTTTTCCCCGAGGAAGTCCTCAGGCTTTTTCTTCTTAAAACCGGCATCACCAGAAGTCGACCCAAGGGGATCGCCATTGTTCTGACCATAGGACGAGGTGTTGGATGACATGAGACTGTTTCTAACCCCGAACATATTAAAAGGGTCGGAATCTTCCACACCTGAAACATCGTTTTGGATTGAAAAAATATTGAGCGGGCGGTTGAGGAAAGTACCAGAAAAAATTATCAGTTCCATGAGGCTAAGAATGACTCACATTTCATAAGTCACCCCCCGAGTCCGAAATTGTACATAAATAAGATCATATCGAAATAACGATATCGGAAAATAATGATACACGAGTTATGTTCTGACCTAACATCTAACGTAACAAAACGATTTCCCTGGGATCAGTAAACAAAAAGGAACAGTCTGAACTCCAAGCAGCCGTACGAATATTTTGTGGGAATTTTTCAGGTGAAAGTTGGACGTAGAGCCAAAAAAAAACCGATTCAGATATTTTCTTTTTAGTCATCAATAATTGTAAGAAGTTATTTAATCAGAACAAAAATGCATCTCGCTCAAGGAATACAACGATACTCACTGTTGGTTGGTGGGCTTCCCCAGGGATCATTTGAATCAGCTATAACGAGGAACACAAAATCCGAATGAGATTTCTTCCGTACTGTACTACAATCGCTATGAGAACTTACTCGTTTGGGACGGACCTGCACTCGGTGCCCAGGGATCCGCAAGATCCAAAGCGCCTATCCCATTTTTGTTCGGGGCGTTGCTTTTCGGCAAACCCCAAGGATCCTAACGGCGGAGGAATCATTACACCGAATATCTTCCGAGTTTCGTTCGAAATACAGGGCAAGAGATGCTTGGTTTCCTCGCGAAAAGTAATCTTCGCTCGTTCATTCAATTCTCAAAGAACTTCTTCAACGTTCTGAAGTGCGAATCGAGAACTTTTGGGTCAATTCTCCTTTTTCTATTTTTTTTTTTTTTTCAGCTGCTACATTATCATACGGACTTCACAAAAATCACCTGTTTTGAAACCACGAGTGTATCTTGCCAAATCAATCGATGAAAGACTTCTTTGTTTTGGTTTTCCTTTTCAAAACATAAGTGTTCTAATTTTACAAAATAAACCACAAGATTATCCCACTTCATCAGATAACTACACTCCAGTGATTATTTACTCTTTCCCGCGGAAACCCAACAACCCTCATAGGGTTTCAACGAATTCTCACAACTGAAGGTGCCGAAGGATGGCTTCCTGGAATGGCCCATGGATCTGCTGCTGTCGCACCCAGTGCCTGCTGGAATTGAGGTAGAATAAAAAAAAACAGTTGAATCGAACATCATCGTCATTCAAATAAAGAGACAAAAAAAGAATTTATCAGAGCACAGCATTTTAAACTTGAAGACAACTTTCCCAACTCACAGAATCATTCTGCGCACCCCATGGATCATTCATAGCACCTATACTCCTCCGCAAACCACTGGCTCCACCAGGCATCGGAGCATCCAATTTCAAATCTAAGATGTCATCCAACGAAGCACTTCTGTTCCCTTCCATCGTGAGAGCTGCATCACCGCTGCAGAATGGAACAAATTCGAAATCAGCGCATGTCAAAACCAATAAGAATAGACACGACGAACTTTTCGTCCTTGCTTTTGCTCAAGGCCCACTGAAGACGCAAGTCATCCGATTTCCTACGCGCTTCCTCTTGATCCGCCTCTTCTTTACTCATTGCCAGCGCGAGTTGTAACTGCAACTCCTCTTCTCCTATGGTAGCCGGTCGAGCACTTTCCAAATCAGTGGACAAAGGACGGCCCCAGCCCGGAGCTAGAATGATAAATTACTTTTCAGTAAGAAGAAGAACTCATAATTTAATGTTACTTACGCTTTGGATCAAGGTCTACAGGCTCTCGCAAACCCTAGCAGCACGAAAAATAAATGATTTCAATTAGATCAAGTCAAGGTCGAACAATATACTGTAAAAATCGAGCAAGGACTTACATCAGGAGAAATGGGACTCGAAGGTGAAGCATAGCCCTCCACCACAAAAGACAAGAAGTTATGCATGCTTCAAACACGCGCGAAAAAATTTCCATGAACTCACATCTGAATCAGAACCCGATCGCATGGCTTGATGGAAGCGTTCTTTTGCTTTCAAAGCTTTCGTTCGTTCAGTTTTCAGTTTGTCCTCGTCATTCAAGAGAGTGAACATAGACTTTGATTTCTCTCTGACGCTCATTCCATAGTCTTTGCATTCTTCGAAATACTGGAAGTCCTTCAGGGTTTGTATCGCGAATATGTTTTCTTTGCACTGTTGCACCACCTTAATAAGAACGTTTAACATAAACAACCACGCTATTTTCGGCTTGACGTTCTGCTAGTTCTTCTCACCTTATCGCTGCCCGTCTTTATCAAATACTCTAACAGGACGAGGGCTTTGTAAACGTGTCGCCAATTCTTCCCATGATCATTCAATCGTTTCCAAATCATCTGCATTATCTCGGAAAACGCAACTATATTATGCGTCATGTCGGCAATTTCCGACATCAGCGTACTGGAAGGACCCCATGGATCGTTGCTCGTAGCTTCTCTAACCTTTACCTGCAGACGGATGAAACCAGGCATGCATTCCTTTCCTTGATAAAATTGATGAATATATTCCTTACCTGCGCATCAGTGTAATTGTGAGCTATGTTCTTCAAATTCCGCTTCAATCCAGCCACATTGACAGCCATTCCGCTCTTGTGGTTGGCTTCGCCAGACCAAAGACACTATCCACTAAAACGTCTCAAAGCAGCCTGGAACAGAAACAGAGAGGAACATCGGCCTTGAGCATATCCACGAAAACGTACAGTGATTTCGACATGTTTTGTAAGAATATGTAGTAGGAAAACGCGTATGCCTCGCAACGAGGCTTCACCGGTTTTGGAAGATTAGCGCGTTCATATGCCGCCGGAGCACGGTCGTAAACATTAGTAAGGCTTGCCTCGAGATCGCATTTGCTACATGTGAACCGAAATCCCCGATATTTTCTGATGGTTTCCCCCGAGTTACACGCAGTGGTTTTACATCAACGTCTCTTTCTTCGCTGTTCTCTTCCTGGAGCACACCTTTGAAGTTTACTGCGCTCATCGGAAAAACTGGTTCCGTAGATTTGAGCAGAGGAATTTCTTCCGAATACTGCGTGGCTGCGTCACGAACTTTAACCTTTTTTTCACGGATCTTTCTCTTCGACGATCGAGCACACTCCGGAATCTTAGATGGGAATTCATACTGATATCGCATGTTTTCGCGTTTCTGCTTAGGCTCAGTGTGGCGCAACTCAAAGTCATTCAAACGTGGCATCAACGCCGTATTGTGCTTCAAAGGCCACTGCTGATAGTTGGAGGACGGTTGTGCGCAGGGTCCGTGCAAGCCTGGACGTCTTCGGCACAGCTCCGTTAAATATGAAAGGCAAACAGAACACAGGACAGGAGGACTAGTCGATCGCGGAAGCATACGATTATATTTCTGAAAGCGATTATGCGACAAGTTTCTCCTCCGACCTTTGTGATCCATTCGGAATGGAACAAAATTGCTTAAAACGAGAACACAGTAGAATACAGAAAGGATTAAAAAGTAAAATCTGCGAATTACAAGACGTTTAACGGCGAAAATTTTCGAAGTTCTTCCTGAGACGAGGAAAACGATCGTTCGTTCACTTACTGCAGAGAAGAGACAAAGAAAAGCAACCGAGTCATACGCCGCAACTTTTTCACGTGAAAAACCAAAGTCATGCGGCATACACCAAGCAACACACGTCTGATCGAAGATCACCACAAGGTCACACGTCAAAGACTGAAGGAACACTTCAATATGCTTGCGTAGGTCACGTTTTCGCACTTGGAGGGCTTCTAAAAAGACGTACAAGCGTCCGAACGGAAAAATACTCCGCAGCGTGTTAACAAGCAGGATTTAATTCGGGGTAGCGAAAATTGAGGCTATTTGACGAATTTCATTCCTAATCCGAAATTTAATTCACGTAGATTCGAAGGATTCCACATTTCATGAACGCCGAACAGCTGAAATTTTGTTATTTATATTAGTATAAGGGACGTTACCATTTAAAGTCTAGTGACATTCGTGTTCCGTCATAGAGTATTTCTATATACTGCATCTTGCTGAAATGTAATACAGAATTCGCGCGAAGTGTACAGTGTTATTAAGCACAGTACTGTACAATATACTTTTTACGACGCCCAGTTTGATACGGGAAGGGAGGGGCTTGGATATTCGTTATGTTGTATGAAAACGATCCTTCCACCAAAATTAAAGAACTGTTATTCTCGCATTGTCTGGATGGCACCTATGATATAGATGACAAACCTGTATACACTTTCATCTACCCATTCACCAACACTGCATTCTCATACTCCCCCTCCTCATACTCATAACATCCTCAGATGTCCCCAGTATCGGGTAGTTCAGCCAAGTTCAGTATACAGTACTGTATATAAATATGGAAAACTGATGTGCATTCTGAAATGCAGTACTGTATTTGTGATTCTTCAAGTCCTACATTGAGCAAATAATGTGCATAGGAAGCAAAATATGTTCCACAATCAACAGCCATGTATTTCAAGAATTTTTCTTAAAATCCGAGGCGCAAGTCGTAAGACCCTTTCAAAACGTGTACGTCAGGGAAGTTCTTTTTGTCCAGGAATTGATCTCAAAAGAAATAAGCTTGGCATGTCACAAAATATTGTGTGCCTGCCGCTGCCGTTGAGATGACTGTGTAGACTACTGTTAAGTACTGCTGTTCTGGGCGCACATTTTTTATCATTCTGGTAAATCAAGCATAACTACCGTACTTTTGGTTGTGCTTGAGTTTGAGAGCAGTGTTGCTGGATATGAAGGTGGAAATTGAGCGTTTTCCTTTCATTTTGAAGATGTCATTAGGGTAATAGTTCACTCCATGATTCATAGATGTCATAAGTATCAAGGTTCATTTCGGCGAGGTATGCAATCATGAACTCTCGAAGTCCCGAGTAGTGTACGACTTGTCCATGTGACGGATGGTTGTGAGTCAGTTCGTCGATCCGTGAACCTTTTTAGATGTGCCTTGAACTTCAAAAAGAGAATTATGTGCTTCTCGTACTACTGTATCTTTATGCCTCTATATTCCCAGACTAGCCATGCTGTTCTGCCCGACTTGTGCGAACGTGGTGACGATTGAAAAAGGCGATGGACCCTACCGCGTGTACTGTTCCAGTTGCCCATATGTTCGTGAACTGCGGAAAAAGATTTCAACGCGTGTATACCCAAAATTGAAAGAAGTTGATGATGTTCTTGGTGGTGCCGCAGCTTGGGAAAACGTCGATTCGACGGAGGAACGGTGTCCGCAGTGTAGTCATGACAGAGCCTTTTTTATGCAAATTCAAACCCGTTCGGCGGATGAACCGATGACGACTTTCTACAAATGTTGTAACCACGCGTGTGGTCATCGGTGGAGAGACTGAATTTTTTTATTCGGAATGCAGTCTTGTGATACACTATCGTTTACCATGATCGGCATTTTTATTACAGACGATATACTTCATGAAATCGAATGATTGGGAAAAATAATGCGTTTTAAATACCTATATCAATAATGGACGACTCATTGGATTTTTCGGATCTTATGAACATAGCGGAACAGAACAACGCCGAAAAACAAATAGTAAGTATTATTCCGTTTGTGTATCGTTCTTTAAGCATCTTTTGATTGTCTTAACGCTGTTGTTGCGCTCTGTTCTTAATTCTATTTTCTTTTTAGGGAATAAAACGCTACTCAACAAACTTCGCCCCGCAGAAGAAGAAACCTCAACAAAATGTCGAAGTTAATCAGAATGCTGTGCAGAAATTATTGGTGCAGAAGAAAAGGGAGGAAATTCGAAGGAGGGTATGTACTATTGAAATTATTTTCTCCTAGTAGAATTTTGTTGGAATTCCGTTCACCATTTTAGGTAGAGGAGCAGAAAAAGAAAGAACGACTTATGGCTCAACGATCACAAAACAAGAAAGCAAGTGGGAGAATTTCATCCATGCTGAAACGAACAAAATCTGCTATTAAAGGAACGGTTTCAATTGAGGAAAGTGGTGGTGAGGATTTGGCTGTTATATCCTGAAAATATGGCGCCATCGATTGTGTGACGCACCCTTACTCCTCGTGTTCAAAATTCGGTGTAATATCGCCAGCGGATCTATTACGCACAGTTATTATTCATCGGAATCTGAAAATCTTCATAGCTTATCTGGAGCTGCAGCTGTGTCATCAAGAACCGTACTTCCTGTCCTATTTTCTTTGACATCTTACCGAGACGCTTTGATTCCTAATAGTATATCTCACTAAGAAAGGTCAAGAAGCTATATTTATATCGGGACACGGTTTCCAAAAGAATTATTATGCTTCATCCTTGTTGACGTTCCTATGACAGGATATTCAGTACAGTACTGTATTTCTTTTTAAAATTAGTGACTTATTTGGTGTAGTGAGGCTTTGCTCAATCAATCGCTTTACGAACTTTTTGTTGTGTATTGAAAAGCTGAAAGGGCTTATGGTGGGATCAAAAATCGAAGATTTGCCTGCAAAGTCGAGCCTCGAATAAAGTTATTTTCAGGGCGAATGCTTTAAGAAGGAAGGGTTGTCTAATAATCGAATGAATGGGGTAAATATGTGTGCAAAATAACGTGCTTTCTTTAACTTTTCAGCTGCTGAGGATCAGTTGGAAGCGGATGATTTCGGTTACTCATCTTCGTCGGCGGACAAACTTCATCTTGCCTTGATGCAAAAGTACCAGAAAAGTGCTGGACCGAGTCAGAAGCCGGCTAGAGCGACAGTTAAAGACTTGGAAGCTGTTAAAGCGAGAATGAAAGAAAACATTGCTGAAGGTGAACCGCAGAGTTCCAGAACGCATCACACGTCTCCGCCAAAGTCTACGAAAATCATTTCTAAACCAGATACGCCAGTCAATACGCCGAAATTCAAAATTCCCAAGAAGAACATGCCGCCCCCTATGTCATTCGAAGAATTGCTTAGTGTTGCCGAGGAGAAAGCGAAAGCTCCGATTGATTACATATCTTTATTTGATGAGAAAGACGATGGAATTGATAGACCCATGACTGCAAAGGAAAAGGAGGAATACTTGAGAGAACGAGCCGCCAGGCTAAGAAGAGAAGGTAAAATTCCCAGAAATACGAAAGTTGGAAGTTCTGTGCCAAGTAAGCAGCCTGAAGCAACGAAAGCGGTTGCTCCATCTGGTTTACCAAAAATACCCAAGAAGAATTCCTGTGCTCCTCCAGTTGTAGCTTCCGTGCAGCGGAGTGTTGGTGTTTCGGAGAAACCCACGACGAACACCGACGCAAAAACAGTTCCTGCTCCACCCCAGCCAAAAACGTCGGCGCCACCTCAGCCGAAACCGTCGACACAACATAAACCTTCTCCATCACCCCCGTCTAAACCATCTGGAGCACCCCAACCGAAATCCTCCGCCCCACTTCCGTCTAAAGCTTCTGCTCCTCTCCAACAGAAGTCATCTGCACCATCCCAGCAAAAATCTCAGTCTGTCTCCTCTGCCCAACCGAAAAAAATTGTCCAAGAGAAGCCGGCTCCGAAAGTGTCACAACCCGCTAAGAGCTCGTCAACCGCTGATGGTTATATTCCGAAGAAAGTCAGCGGAGAGTACGTACCGAAGTCTGTTTCGGGTGCTTATGTGCCGAAGCCTGTTTCTGGTGCTTATGTGCCGAAACCTGTTTCCGGTACCCCGAAGAGTGCCTCGGAAGTTTCGTATAAGGCTACGAAAATAGTTGAAAAGCGACAAGATGGAAATAGGGCTGTCCCGTCGACTTCAGGATTAAAAATGAAAGGAGCTGTCAAAAGACCGTTGTCGCAGGGCAGGGGTGAAGCTTTCCGGAAACCCGTGTGTCCGCCTATGAAAAAATCAGCACCTCCAGCGAGGCGTGAGTACCGCTTTTCGTGCTAATTTAAAGACCACTGTGCAGTATCTCTGTGCAAGATGCCTACGTGCAAGGTTTTTAAAAAGCCCGCTCAATTGTTACGGGCAACTGTTTTTAAAACTTCAATACAAGCTCGCTGTAATTTTCCTTTCACGTGTGATGAACTTGAGATTTTTCATTTCTTTGAATAGCTACCCGGAAAATAATTGACAGATTCCTTCGAACTTCGAATTTGTAATTCTCGAAGAGTTCAGATCGTGTTCATCTTCCATTATCTATTCGGTAGTGCAGACATTTACTTATAATAGCACGTGAATGAGTGTGTGTTTTGGACCTCTCGTGAACTTTCATTTTGTATCCAGATCTGAAACGCCCTATATTTTTTCTACTTGAAATTTGATAAAAGCATTTGTAAATGCTTACTTTCAACGCTGGCTGAATTTCCCGTCTCCATTTAAAAGATCGTGTGTGTTGATAGTTTGAATTTATTCAAGTCTTCTGAATTATTTCCCTCGTATGTTGTTGATTCTTTGGCAATGAGTCACATTTTTTTGAATATATTTTTGTCGATCATCAGGTCGCATTGAAAGTGATTCCGAAGAAGAGTACGATAGTGAAATGGACGATTTCATTGATGACGGCCCGTTGGATGATGGCATGGATGTTTCTACGGAAATCGGTCGTCTCTTTGGATATGATCGTCGGAAATATGCTAATCTCGACGACGATGACGACGAGTGTATGGAAGCGAGCTATAGTGACCAGATGAAGGAAGAATTTCGCTCAACGAAAGCCGGCATTTTGGAAGATCTGCGGGAAGCTAGGCTGCAAAAGATGCAGAAGAAGAAGCGTAAGGATTGAAAAATCGAGGATCTTTTTCCGAACATTGTGAAAATTGATTAACGTGTGCTGTTATGATTGAAACTATTCACATATATTTTTGAGTTACCGGAAAGAAATAAATTGATATTGTGTCGGAGTGTTGAAATGGAATATATGGTGATGATCGTCGAAGCTTATTTTATTTTCCTTTCGTATACAAATTTGTGCTCTTCAAGTTCTCTGATCGCTTTTTCCGTTTTCCAGAAAGCCTGTGAGAAAGAAGTGTATCCTTTTTCGAAATGGGGCTTTGGAACAAGCTGATGGATCGTTTAAGTCTGCTTGTTTATCAATATGAAGTTTGCACTTCTATTGCGATGATGAGTTTCCCTGAAAAAGTGGTCATCAGTATCCTTTAGTGACATTAGATTCCTTTGCATGTCAGTAATTGATTCTTCCTTTGTAGCAGCCAATTCCTTGTTTCCTTCCCAAAATCTTATTCGTGCGTTGATTTTCCTTGACTAAATCCCGATCACCAGACTCAGCATTCATTGGAGTTTTAGCCACGATCCTGTATTCGTCGTACGTGTTCTTGCCGCATTACACTTGGAGGTTGCTGGTTCTCTGTGGCATCTTCGTGCCCCCGGACGGAGCGACAATTGAGGACGTTCGATTAATGCCCTGAGGTAAGTGTCTTCGTGTGTCCGAGTTGTATTTTTTGTCATATACTTTTTTGTTAATATTTTTAGTATCAGTTAGATTGAAATTAACGTATCTGATTTTACCATTCGAAAGAGAGAGACGGACGAAATCTCTAGCTGATAATCCAGTCAGTTTCATTCATCAAGGTAAGCAGTTGGGAATATTGGCTTATGAATACGTTTGCCAAGATCGATGTACCATGGAATAATTCGACTCTGCCATTGAATCACTTTAACTATCAATCTTGTATTCATCAATGCCCTCTCTATTAAGAGCAATCAATTTTAAATCTTGTAAAATTCTTCGTCCACCCAATGGTATAACGAGAGTTTAAATTTCAGGGAAAGATTGCATATTGCACACTCAGAATATTTAGATTTTTTGTCTTCGTAAAAATGACTGGATAACAAGGACATACAATTTTCTCAAAATGCTTGCTTGATATGACCGTATGTCGGAAGGATTCCTTTCCTGTTGTTCACCGCAGAATGAAAATTAATTTCCCTTTTTTAATCCCACTTTACTTTGCAGATGACTTTGAGGTTAGCATCTACATTTTCTCGCATCGCCCCAAGATGTTTTGTACCCGGAGGTCGCATATCGTCGAGCACGAGATGTTTCTATACAGGCACTTCATTTCCCACCTCGGCATTTTTTGGCATCACCTCGGTATCGCTTGCAAATTCCATGAGAAAGAAATTGAAATGGACAGTTTATCCTAAGGCACGGCTGGTCGCCGTTTCATCCCTGCTTTACGAATCTGTCGTAGATAATTTGGATTACGTTTCGATCTTCGAAGAGTTCGAGATGCCTGATACGCTGTATTCTTGGTACTTGGTGTCCGAACTTCACGTATGGATGTTATCCGTCCGATTGATGAGTGATGGAAGTGAGGATGGTTCTTTCGCTCGCGCACGTTTGCTGGAACTTTTTTGGGAAGATTTGGAGAACCGTTTGAAAGTGCTGAGTCCGATTAGTTCGTCTGTACGAAAAGCCTACCTTGGAGAAATATTCGACCAGTTCAGGGCGGCACTGTTTTTGTACGATGAAGGAATTCTAGGAGATGATATCATGCTTGCTAATTCTATTTGGCGACGCTTTTTAGACAGCAATTTACCGCAAGATCCAGGAAAATTGGAGGCTTTGGTTGAGTATGTACGTCGAACCGTGAAGGCATTGGATTCAGTTCCTTTTGAAGTGTTGATGGAAGAGAAAAAGTTCAAATGGCTTCGCGCGCCGAAATCCACGTCTTCGTTGCTTTGAAGTGATCTTATAAAATTTTAGTCATGTCGTGGTTTTAGATGTCTGTTAGCTTCTTCAATGAGCATAATCAGAGATTTTTATGGACTTCAGTGTGTCACAGAAATGTTCAGTGGTGAAGTTTTTCCCGAAAGCTGCGTTGCATACGAGCTATACCCGTGTTTTCCGGAGAATAATGCAATCCACGATGTATTGAAAGCAACCGTGGAGGAATGTGGAAAGCTGTGTGGGACCGATGTCGCCAATTATCTTTGGCATTACGATGACTGGACCTTACATCCCCAACTCATCGGCAAAGGAGAAGGCTCGTTTATAAATGAATATCCCGGACCTCTCAGTGGTTCAACTTTCTGGAAATCTTCCTTTGTTTTTTAGATTTCGTTCCTCATCTAGAAGGAATGCTGTGCTTCGGAGATAACGTAGAAGATGAATGGTTCGTCACGTGGTTGCTTTTTAAGCTGACGAAGATGATTCCAGGCTTGATTGCGAGGTCAGTTCACTATTATTTCCTTTTATTTTCGTCGTTTCCATTTCATAGTTTTTTTTTCGTTATTCGGTCATGGAACTATCGTTTTCTGTGCTGTAAGTTGGTTTGATACCAGGTCCGTTTCCGGCGTTCGACTGGGTATAAATGAGAATCCTATTTTGTTCTTCTCTTTTGTACCCGTGCGTAAGCGTAATTTGCTGAGTTTGTTTAGCCTCTTGGATCTTGAGCTAAGTCATGTTCGCTTAGACATAGGGCAACGTTAGATTTGATCAGCCGCAAGGTTTTTGTTAGGTTTGAGCTTTGAAGCTGGATTAGGTTTGCTTAGCTCGGGGGCTTCGTTAAGGTTGGTCGGGATGAATTTGTTATGTTTGGTGAGAGTTATGAAATTCAAAATGCGGGTGTAGAACAAAAGTCGATTAAAGCAGGGAAGTGGACATTGATTTCTTGGTCTATCGGATTAACTGACTTGATTTTCGACTTCGTCTTTTTTTTATTGTCCATCAGTAAAAAATACTGGTGGGAACCAAAATTATGATATCAACTTCGATTATTTTCGAGGATGATCTATAATTCTTCATCACCTGGTCCATTGTCCGAAGCATGGTCTGATATGCAAAGCATAAATTTTTTTAAGCGCGAGTATTTCGTACGAAAAATGTGCTATGCGTCTGTTGATTATGTACCTTTCATGTAATCTGGAAACCTACTCAGAATACAGTTGTAAACTTCAAATACTTCTTTCCATTCTGAGCAAAATGATGTTCTGTACAAGAATCGATTCTCTTGATACATTCTGCGGTTGATGTAGACGAATCGCGCTATTCCAGTCCAGTCCGGAACTGGGTCAGCCTGTCTGGAATGAGGAAGTTCGCGTGCTGGGAAACACAGGACGGTCTATTTCGGCTGGCCGAAGAGAAAGGGCGTCGCTGAAGGGGTGTTCGCTGTTGGGTGTAATTTTCTCGGTGGGGACTGAGGGAATTATTTGCTTCGGGCCTGGGGGTAGAAACTAGGTCAGCACTGCAGTATGGTGATTCGGGATACAGTATTCCTTACCTCCGACGTGCATAAAGAGAGAAGCGCGAAACAGTGTCGTAATGTTTGCTCACAGTGTAAATTTTCTTGCTAGCCGCGACAATGTAACTCATACTTTTTATGCGTGGAACGAGGAAGTTTTTCAAAAATTCCTTCGTTTCCGTACCACGTCAAGGAAATTTTTTTTGAGAATAACCATAATCTCATCCATAGAATTATTGCGATTATAATTTATTAAGAATTTACGTTATTTTTATATTCCTATAACACTTATTATTGTTACGAATTACTGCACTGCATTCGAATTTTTACTAACACATCTAATGTAGTGCAAACGATTTTGCTATTCATCATTTGAGGAAATAAGATTGCCGAAAAGAAGTCTCAGAATTTAAGATACTGTATGTTCTTACGCGTGTGATGATATTTTTGCTCGGTTGACGGCGAAATAGGAAGTTTCACGCAATTTCGGAAATAGCAAGCCGTGTACCAAGATATTTTGGTTATCTCTCACTTTCTTTTTCTACTAACTGGTATTTGCGTTTGTTAAAAGGAATTAGCGGAGATGAGGGCAAATGTCAGAACAGCAATTTCAACAAGACAAGTTTAGACGTGATAGGGATTTTAATACCGTGTAAATGGCTCGTTTTTTGTTATTATTCTTCTCTTGTAAATAATTTGTCTGCAATAATTGCTTATTCGTAGGCCTATTATTTCCAATTAGCTATCTTGCGGGTCTCATCTGACTTGAAATTGTTTTCATTTACGATGTCCTTTCGATTTTTTTCCGGTTATCCACACTGTTGGGCGTTACACGTCCCAGAAAGTACCGAATAGCGATCGATTCGCGAATGTTTGGTACTAGTATATGGCAGCCTGTCATTTTTCGTGTATCATGTGCGTAAACTATGATTTGACGAGCCCTGACCATCCTTGACCTAAATAACTCCCTCGTCTGATGGCAAACTTTGTTCGCGTGACCGTAAAGATGCGCACATTTATTCATAACTTTTCAATGTTTAGTGTGTGGATTTTTAATCTGTTATTCTGACTGATCCGTTGTCGGCTTCGCTGCCAGCCCGAGTTGTTGTTTTCGACGCGATTACGTTCTGATTCGATGTGTGGGGCGAGGAAGAGCGGAATTGCCGGCGGCATTATTCGCGGTAATTGCGAGGTAGGCAAATGGCTCGGCTGGCCTTCCCATGCTCGTTCCGGTCTTTCGTTTTTTTTTTCCTCCCTTCCGAAATTATTCCGTCATTGCGGTCGGGGTAAATAAGGGAGTCGGGTGGTGAAAATGATGATCATATTAACCTTGCTCGTTCTTACGCTTCGGCGTTCCGAGCGATGTTCGGTTTGCGTCTGCGGAAGTTCTTGATACCTTTTATTTTTTTTCATTGCCGTTCACGGAATATCTATTTTCTTCACCTTGTGAGTTACTAACTTTTTTTAAACGTGCCGGGGTTTAATGTTCAGGGTATCATAAGGATTTCTCAAAAGGTGAATTGGGAACATTTTCTCCGATTTTTGAACTCAGAAACGAGGAGGGCATTGAGTTTCCTAGAATATGAATTCAGATTAGCTGTAATTTTTTCAATAGTGTACAAGCACTTTTAGTCGTGCCACTGGTCTCAAATCGCTTTTTTTTTTTTATTTGTTGACTCTTTTTAAGAATAGTGTCCCCGCATAACGAAACTGCAATAATCACTTTATGGGTGTGTTTTGTTCTGCGGAATTTTAGTTACGCAAAGTACGGTTTCCCTTAGGGTTGGATTGTGAATTGTTTAATTACCAGAAAGCTATAATAAACCAATGAAACCGTTCATTTCTTCTAGTTTTTTCAATTGTGAATGTTTTCAAGTATGAAATTTAAATACTTCTGATTAATTTGAGCTCAGACCATTCTGAATTTTACAAAATTTAAAGGCAAAAAGAAGCTGAACTATACCCTCGCTTTTCTCATTTTTCTCAATGTTTGATAAAATCCGAAATATTAATCGAAAAATTTTTGAAATTTGAGAGCATTTGTGCCCGAAATTTTGTTGTGTGAGTCACTTTTTCTTCATTCGCTGCGCGGTCTTTCGTTATGCGGGGACTAACTTTAAATTACTGTACTGTATATTGATATTTACTCGGGTTTGCCTATTTTTTTTGGGGTGGAGCTCGTTTAACGAAACGTTCGGAAATGGCGCGAAGTCTTACTTTATAAACTAAAACAAGAGACACTGTTTTGAAGATGAATTTGGAAGAATGTAGCGTCACAACCATTTCCCAGACATATGCTTGAAGTGTCCCCACGAATAGAGTAGATATCCATGTTGCATACCGGATATTTCTGCGCTTGTTTCCGTGTGGTGGAGGTAATTTTCCGAATCTTCTTGGGTGAAACATTTTAATTACCGTCTTCACTGGACTGTGCGAAAATGAGGAAATACCCCTCCATGATAATGAACAATTATTCCCTTCATTTCGTAATCCCCCTGTGCTGCTCAAATGTTCTAGTATTCTAAGACGTTCTTGATGTCGGATTCCGCTGTAAATCACGCAGTAAACTTTTTCATCTGCATAATGTACAGTATCTTCTCGAATTGATGAAAACAACATAACTTGAACGGCTGTGTCGTTTTTTTTTTCCATGAAGAAAACTACAGCAGAGTTCTTTGTCTTATTCGTTTCAATTTGTCCTTACTGTACTTTTGTTTACTTTTTTTCGATGGATTCAGTCTCGGCGACTTAATAAATGGGCGTGGGAGAGACCGATTGTTTCGTCAGGTTCCAAGGCAAGAACAGCATCGGGTGTTATGACGGGGTTTTCTTTTGTGATCCTTGTGATGTTGTTTTGAATTATACCCGAGTTCCTTGCTGAAATGGGAGCGGCGGACTAAAAATATGTGCAACCCTCATACTGACGGGAAGTGTCATTTTTTTCACGAATCCCACAACTAGCCCCGGGGGACAAGCTTGGTTGGCGCGGGAAACGGAAGTGGATCGCAGCCTGTGCTCTCATGTGTAGGTTAGTTTTTTTTTTTTCTATATCCGCTAAGTGTCCTTGCTTTTTGATTTCTTTTTTTCGGCAGCATTGCGTACATGTTTCTCCTCGCTGAATATCGCACCGAGGCGAAAAAGCGTGGTCAGGGTTTTGTTTGTCGCGAGGGGGGGGGGGATGGGAGAGAGAAATTTTATGGAGCGAGCGCGTGATGCCGTTGCTGCTATGCGTGAAAAACTGGGTTTTTTGGGAGGCTTCCGTGAGTCGGTCTTGAGGCCAGTATGTGCCACTATTGTGTGTGTCGCGGTGGTGGTCGGACGTGTGTTTGTTTTGGCGAATATCCACTAAACTTGTTATGCAAAATTATGAGTCCAGAAAAAGGAAGAACCCCTTCATTTGAGAGAAACTACCCGTATTTACTCGAGTTCCTCGCATCCTCAAGTGAGACGATCCCTTGGTTTTCTAATCCTAAAATTCGAATAAAAATGTATCCGTTCGCAAGACGCAAACTAAATTTTTCAATATTTTCAAAATGCAACACATCAGGATTTAAATTTTGAAGTGAATTGTATCAAACTTGGAAGTTGATTTGATGTTGTTTTCATTAAAAAAAAATTGTTGAAAATGCTCAACAATTTCCTGTTGAAATTAACTACATTATGATGTTCACTACAGTTCTTTTTAATTTTTATCCCCGCCAATGACTTGCACCCTCGTTTTTTTTTCGATTAAACGAAAATTGCGCGTGGTACTCGAGTAAATCGGTACTTACGGATTCTATTGGCGGACTTGGTCCATGAAAAGACCATTGTCCAGAAATTCGTATCAATCGATTAATGCAAAGCTGAATAAAATAGCTTATTGCATAATTGAATCCTTTTTAAATTGTGCAAGAAAAAAATAAGTTCATTCTTGCAAATGGCGTTTACCCAAAATTCTGTATGTGATTGAATTTCTTCATCTCGTGGGAGCAAAGGGATGATTTCAGAGCAAGCGGTGGTAAAAATGTTTCCATGTCAACATCTCGTGATTCTTTCGAAAGGAAAATCGGGATCGTTTGCCTTTCTTTTTATTAGGAAGATCTATCCAAAGTCGGAATCCGAGCCTCGATGCTATTTTGTGATGCATCGGTGGAAAAATCACAGGATATACCGTATAGAGGAATAGACGAATCCGCTTTCAAAGACTTTTTCGATCTGTTTTCGCTTTCGTGAGAAATCACGGGCATCATAATTTTATCGCCTGAGAAACTGGAGAGAGAATAATATACTGTACGTGGATTTTAAAAATTGGGTCGTTGGGGAAAAATTTTTTTAAATCTCTTTCGAGATAACGTTGATTGTTAAGGACGAAAAGATGTTATTGCGAACAATGCGAGAACGTGAAAATTTTTTTAACCTTTCTCGATGATCGTGTGTATACTTATTTCATTTTTTAAACCAATGAAAACCAAATCATGAAGTTCGGAGGCAACCGTTTACAGTGTATTTCCCTTCACGAGTTTTTTTTTTTTTGCTTCTTTTTTTTGGTAGAAAATGAGATTATCATCATTAGTTGCTTTTTTGTTCCCCTTTTTTTAACGTAATTGACGATTGTTGTATTTATTAATTTCTTCCGCAGAGTATTTGACGCCGATGGAGAAATTTTATTGATTCAAGCAGCCGAAGAGCTTCCACAGTGGCTAGAAGACCACGAAGCCAAGAATCGAGTGCGTTGCTCGGCCTTTTGGTCAATTTTTGCTTACACTCGATCACGTGGAATAGCTGTGATTGACGTAATCTTTCAAATTCCCTGTTCTAAGGTTTTTATCTACCAAGGAGAAGTGCATATCGTACCGATTCCGTCGACGCCATCCGAAATTACTCCGTTGTCATCTGCGTGTGATCCAACTTTGGTAGACGCACTTTCTACCGTGAGAAATTTTCCGTCTGCTACGAGGGCATCAGCAAAAGTCCAGGAAGTAATTTCGGAGCGACTCCGACAGTGCGTATCCGTGATTTTTCTCGAGTTATTCTCACTCAAATGCCGGACTGAACGTGAAACATGAATACAGTACCTTTTGACAAGGCAGAGTCCGCCGTATTTTTGTTGCTTGGTTCTCAAAAATGAATCATTTTTCGGAAAACGTGATGCTATGGCAATTTTTCTGTGAATTTCATCTATCGCCTATGCTATTGTTAGATTCAGTATTCTATGAATTTCTGGAAAACTGCACGCGGTATCTTTCGTTCGAAGAATTCTCTAATTCGGTTCGCAATATTCCTCCAGGAATTACGTGACGTTGTGACATGAATGACGTTCGAAAAATTATGGAATACCGTAAAATTCACAAGATCCTAGAAAAATCACGATTTGCTTGTGCGTGTAAATCGAGAAAAAAATGTTTTATTTTCTTAACCCACGTAAACTCTACTTGCATTGCACGTTGATAATACCAGAGGGAAAGTTGGTCGGACGTTTCAGTGAAAAAAAAAATCACCTTTTCTTGGCCTTGTGTGTACAAAAATGTTTTAAAAGAGTGAATCTCTAGCCTAACGTTGGTTCGTTTGGACTAATTTTTCTTTTACAAAAAAAGGAGGCGCCAATTTCATGATGTCTCAATTTTTTAATTTTGAGGATTGAACTTTTTCAGGTTTCCGGACAAAATGGATGACCAGCTTCACCGAGCAAATGTTTTAGTTCCAGCCGGGGTTGCGATGGTATTGGAAGCAGAGCCATCATTATTGGCGCCAGCTGTGCATGCTTTTTGTCAGCGGGACATGATAGATATGCGTGTACGTACGCTATAATATTTCACGCGAGTGTCTTTTGAAACGTTGCTAATTTTGTTTTGTTTTTTGTTCGTGCAGGCATGCCAGGCAATGAAATTTTTTCCTCCGGAGCAATGTGTGCGTACTCGCGTGACTTTCACGAAATGCTTGTATGCCTTGTTGAACAAAGCTCGGTGTGATCCAGATCCCAGGACTGGTTGGAAACTACCAGCTGTTGGTACTGAAGAGAGAAAAGAGGCCGAGCTTGGAGTGAAATTGGTCAGTTTTTTTTTTTCGTGTATAGTACCGTGCGTTGCGATCGTGTTTTTTCGAAGAATGATCTGAAATGTTTCCCTTTTGAATGCGTACCAGGCTTGGGGGTTTGAAATCCTCGCAGCTTCTGCGAAACCAGATGACGAAAGGAAGATATCACGCACACAAGATGTGGAAAAGGATAATCGTTGGAGCCAATACATGCAATCTCTGGAAAAACATGGTTATTTCAAGGTATCACGGCCGAATTTCTAGAGGATATTTCTCTGGCAGCTGTAGGATCCCGTAAAAAATATAAGCTAAACGTTTTTGAAATGGGCAGGTGAATGCTTGACGGAAAAAAATATTAAAGATTCGGGTAAGACGAACATGTCGTGTGACTGTGTTAGAATATTGTACATTGTATTAAGCATACAAAATACATTCATTTTCTGTTTTTATTTCACTCCAGCCTTATTTTAGGCATTACCTGTACTGTGTTACCTTCTATAAGTATACGATTCTAGTTTTCAAAACGCTTTGTCCAAGTTTATTTTATTGAGTATTATGTAAGTATTGCATCTATATGACTAATATTCGCTGCTTTCGTTTTCACTTGAACCATTCTTCTGTAAAAATCTCCCCATCAAAGAAAGACATTGTGTTGCAGGGAGAAATTGAAGGATCGAAAGAATATTCCCGATTGAAAGCCGAAGCGGTCGATTATTTCGTAACGTACGTTCAAGGCGGGGGACCGAATTTGGGCCGAAGAACAGCCGCGGGAAAAGAAATACACAAGCGTTTATCGAAAGCTGACATCAATGTTGACAGGCTGCGAGAAAGAGGGGAAAATTTGCCGGAATCGGAAGGTGAGCAGCAGGATCATTGCAGTCTTTTTTTTTTGTCATAAGTTTATTTTACGTAGGCGATTTAATTGGTCCTTTTTTGAAACCGCAACAGTACGTGTGTAACCCTGTTCTTACCCATTAACACGCACGTCTTTTCCCAAATGTAGAGCGGAAAAGTGGGGTGTGCACTGTAGACGGTAACACGTTTTTAGGATTTGAAATCGTTTTAGATGTGCGTCATAAAAATTAATCTACCAAATTGTCATTGAGCTTGAATTAGTGTCAAAAAAGTCAAGTCTGGGATTGAGAATTGATCAGTTTATTTAAAAATTTATTTATTTAAAAATGTATTCAAAAATTAAATTTTAATTAAAAGTAATTCAACGGTAGTTTTAAATTTATTTAAGAATTGAGCAAATTCATTTTGTTCGTTTTTTTCTTTCTTGGGTTGATACTTCTGTTTTTTACATGATTGAGAAGTTCCAGAAGTGAAAAGGGTTTTGGCTTTAGAATTCTAGATGGACTTGAAAGCCGGAATTCACAAGAAAGACATCAAATTCAGCTTCAATTTGAGTCTGTTGAAATTGCATATAATTCATATTTTAGTTTTGAGACTAAAAGTGAGGTGGGGTTCGTAGACGGGAACAAGTTTTTCCAACAATGTTGAGCTAATGAAGGTGCGCCTCTCACTTCTGTGTGTGGTACTCAGTAAATACAATACAGTATATGTGCTGTAGAATAATTTACAATAATGTACTTTATTACTCGTAGGTCTAGAAAAATGCAGTGGTACAAGCATTATTTTAGAATGAAGCTCTTCTGTTCGTCACATTTTTTAATGAATACCATGATCACAAAAGGTTTTGTGTTGACGCTAAATTTGTCCATGGTTATTACTATTTTATTATGCTCTATCCAATTTTTTTAAATCTTTCTGGCGCAGGGCCTCGACTTTTTTCAGCAGTGATATGGTTACGGTAGTTTTGAGGGATTTTCTGTAGTTGGATGAATGTTGAACCGGTTTTATTGCTTACATGTTTTGATATATTCGTTCAGATGATTCCTGGCTGGATGTCAACACGGATCAATTAGATGCTATGCTGAAGCGTCATTTCAACGCAGAAGAACCAAATGCAGCCGGTGAATCTATTCCTGACAGCCTGAAGCTGTTTTTGTCGCAAATGTCTTCGTATGAAGGGGTTGAAAATGCTGGCAGAAAACGTTCGACGGTTGGAAAAAATCGGAAGCTTTCAAGAATCTCAGACCGAAAAAAATCTGCTGCTGACGGCCGCAAAATATCGTCCATATCAGCCGTATCCAATTTATCTGAAGCGATCACTTTTGACGGGGAGCAATTTTCTGCGGGATTGCGAGACATTCTAGGTATGTTATCAGATATTCTTGAGATTCGATTACGAGAAATTCTAAAGACCAGTAGTGATTTTAGCGAAAGGTGTGAAGTATATTTTCAAGTATTGGGAATACAGGCGCATTAGGAAAAGTATTCCCTCATTTCTAAAAAGTTATATGTCCTCAACGAGTGCAAAACATCCTTAACGTGAAGAATGGTGTTCCATTTTTTGGCCCAGCTGTAGTGATGTACGATTCTTTTCTTGGATTTTTCAATCTCTTATGATTCGTTTCAATTTTTTTTCAATCTAGATTTGGAAGCTGAAGACGAAGGAGATTTCGATTCGGATTGGTCTGAAGATTACAGTTCCGAAGACGAATTCGAAGACGTGATGGACAATGCATTCCTTCATCCTGGGAAAAATCGAAAAATTAGCGAGGAACAGCGAGAAATCATGCGCATCATGGCAGCGATGGATAATGAGTTGATGACACCTGGCAATTCCGTCATGGCTGACAGCTTCGTCAAGAAAGTGACAGTCGCTGACAAGTATACTGTTTATTCCGCTGAGAATAAAATTCGTGAGCCAGTGGACGTGGAAGGAAACGCGATGAAAAATATTTTGGAGTCGTTCGAAAACCAGCTCGGTCTGACTGGACCAGCGACAACTCTGATTGCATCCATGAATCAATTGAAAGATTCTTGAACGACATAATTTTCATCATTCCTGATGCTGCCTGCAGTATTTACGAATGCGACAAAGCGATTTTTTTTTCAATTTTTCACTGCAAGGTTTTGAATTATGCAACTGATCGAAAAGGGTTCAATTGCTGGAACCTTTTGCGCAGAAAATCTTTTTCTTCGGTTTAGCCTTTCTGCGAATACGTTGGGAGTTCTGTTGGTATCATTTTGCTGCTCGTTCTCAGTTGATTTGGAAACCGCGACAATACATGCGTTTTTTCGGCCCATTTTTATTCTTTTCCTCGTGAATTTTATCAAGTAGAGGGTTGATACTCTTCGCCGAGAAGGACAAAGAACGCGAGAAAATATGTTGAACCTGCTTTGAGATTCTTCGTTCCCACTCACTATGCATACGAAAAATATATCGTGGTAAGATGTGGAAGATAAAATGATCGCAACGTATTTTCGAAGCGAGGCTCTATTAAAAGCTACCGATTTGATATTGCACGTCAACTGCTTGGTAGTACTGTATTGAAAATAATTTGGCGATAAGGAAGACATTTAGGTGGGTCCTTATCAGATCATTAATTACTATTTAATAATACATGTTGGCTGATTCTTGCGTGAAGTCAAGTTTATCAAGCTCTTGAGAATTACAGTAGATGGATTTTCTATTATTTTCGCGAGTTACTCTTTCTGAATAAATATCGACGCTTCTATGGGGTAAACATACCAACACACCGGATGATTTGATCTTGCCCTTTTTTTCTTTCGAAAGCAGATTGAACGTCAGCACATGAAATTCATTGTTGAATTAATACGCGAATGTGGATTCCAGTCTGGACCACGGTGGCCATCATAACAGAAACTTGGAGCAATTGAAACTATATTGGCTTTGAGATTGCTGTTTTAAGAACTAATGAAGTAATGAGAACAGTATTGCATTAATGTGTGTGTTTGTATAAATATTTGTTAAGCTTGATTTTTTTTATTATTGCTGATTAGTCAACTGTTTCCCTGGAGTGCAGAAGGTTACATCTCGCAAACTGGCATCATGTCTTGAAAAAAAAGGTAATTTTGCCAATCATGCACACAACTTTTTTATGTCCATTGAATTTAGTACAGTATTTTGAACTATATGTGCATGCGAGATTTGTTTTTCATTCAAAAAAAAAAGGATTCAGCAGCAGTTGTTACCACAATCAACCAGAGGTTTCTCTCGTGAATATTTGTTGTGAAATTTATTACATCACAGTATATTGCATTTTTCATACCACCGCCATTCTGAGGTCATACTCATTATAACCACCGAATTTAAGTTAGCCGCAATTTAATGCCTAAACACACATACACTCATCCTTCATTTTTTTGCATATTACTGTTCAGAAGGCTGGAATATCCGTATTTACAGTATAAGGAATGCTTTTCGTCTGAACTTCGCTGATACGACCTCTTTTGACGGCGGTGGACCACTGGTACTGTATTACTACAGTATGTACATGTTTGGAATGTCATTGTACGCAACGCCACATTTTATTTTCAATTGAATCTCGGAAATTGTTCATATACTGTGCATGCATACAATTTTTGGTAGGGTATATATACCTTTGTGTGCATATCCATGAAACATGGATTGTAGTGTACAGCTGCAAAGAAGATGATGTGATCTTAGATTTTCTTGTCTTCAATATAAAAAAACCCCGATTATTCAGAAAATATATTAGATTATTTTGGACGTATTACACGTTTTCTTGGAGAGAATGCTAATGTGCTGCGCAGTAATTGTGAACTATACCCATCATGAGTGTTGCATTTTACATCAGCGGGGTGTTAGAATGGAGTCGGACCCACACTACCGCGGAATCGACCATGTCTGTAGTGTTAGGTCTTGATGCAATAGTGTGATGTTACCTGTCCGTCGGTCGCTTCCTCCCGAAGTTCCCTCCCTCTTAGCGCCTGCTGCGTCTTGTTACAGCTGGACGTTCCCGATTGGTTGCCTCTCTCACTACACGTCAGTGCTGACGCGTCTTCCGCATTCGCAGCCGGGTAGGCCGGTCGGAGTGGAGGCATTTACCGGGTATCCTCAGACGTGTTGCGGAGGAAGGGTTGAATGTCCTACACGGTTGCGTGAATCCTATGTCATAGTCTTGCTACTTTTCCTGGCGTTTTTTTCTTCGTCGAAGTGGTGTTTGAATTCCGATCATCTTCGCAGATTCCGTTGTCGTGGGCCGTTCTGTGTCCAGTGTCGTCGGATTTTGGCCATGCGTTTCATAATTCCTTTTATTCTCGCGCTTGTGGCGTTGGTGAAGTCCGAAGTGCACTTCGAAGAAAGATTCGATGATGGGAGTAAGTTTTACCTTACCAATAAAGTCGAACTGTTCTAAAAGTGAGAGATGTTCTTGTTTAGATGCATGGGAGGATCGATGGATTAATTCAGCACACAAGACAGATTACGGAAAGTTTGAATTGAGCCACGGCAAGTTCTATGGGGATGCTCAGAAGGATCAAGGAATCCAAACCTCGCAAGATGCCAAGTTCTACTCTGTGTCAGCGAAGTTCGACAAATTCACGAACGCTGATAAACCCCTGGTCGTTCAGTTCACCGTGAAGCACGAACAGAACATTGATTGTGGAGGCGGCTATGTCAAAGTATTCGGCTGTGATGTTGATCAGAAAGCTTTCCATGGCGAATCCCCGTATCATCTGATGTTCGGTGAGTAATTTTTATTTTTTACTTCCCGACCATGTTCACTTAAAAATCGACGATCGTGCTTCACAGGACCTGATATTTGCGGGCCCGGAACGAAGAAAGTTCACGTTATTGTCAATTACAAGGGCAAGAATCATCTCATCAAGAAAGACGTTCGTTGTAAGGATGACGTTTATACGCATTTGTACGCCTTGATCATCCGTCCGGACAACACTTACGAGGTCAGAATTGACAACGAGAAGGTCGAGAGTGGAGAGCTGGAAGCGGATTGGGATTTCCTGCCTGCAAAAACCATCAAAGACCCTGATGCGAAGAAACCTGAAGATTGGGATGATCGTGCAAAGATTGACGATCCCGAGGACAAGAAGCCCGAGGTTCGTGACGAAACGTTTTTTAATATTTTCTTTCTTAATTGGCCACGTTTTCTATAGGATTGGGATAAGCCTGAGCACATTCCAGACCCTGATGCCGCCAAACCTGAAGATTGGGATGACGAAATGGATGGAGAATGGGAACCGCCAATGATCGATAATCCAGAGTACAAGGGCGAATGGAAACCTAAGCAAATTGATAATCCCAGTTATAAGGGAGTGTGGGTCCACCCAATGATCGACAATCCTGATTACACTGCCGATCCTGAAATCTACAAGTTTGATGATGTTTGTGGTATTGGTTTTGATCTCTGGCAAGTTAAATCCGGCACCATCTTTGACAATGTCTTGGTGACGGATGACGTGGATTACGCCAAGAAAGTTGCGGAGAGCGTATGGAAGGAGACTGCTGTGAGTTGTTCTGGAATTCACATGTATTATATCCTGAAAGCACATTTTCAATATTTGAGATTTTCTTATGAAATGTCAATTTGAGAAACTATCACATTTTTATTTTAGAGACTTTGTCAGGGTTACTTAACTATATTCATGACTACAATTTGACTAGCTTCCTATGATTAAAATTATCATTTTCTGGTCAGGATGGAGAAAAGAAGATGAAGGAAAAGCAAGACGAAGACGAGAGGAAGAAAGCTGAGGAAGAGTCATCCAAGAGCAAGGATGCGGATGACGAGGACGACGAAGACTTGGACGAAGCTGAGGAAAAGACGCACGACCATGAACACGACGAATTCTGAGGACGATTGCTCAGTCCCACTTAAGTTCCTTTTGTTTTACGTAAGAGAGTGGAAGTGTGTGAGCAGTGATTTTTGAGTGAAGAGCGAAGGGTTATAAGATTGTTGGCACTTTTCGTCGAATCGTTCAAAAATCCTCGGTTTTCCTCCCAGCGTATTTTTGGCATTAGGGTGGGAAAATCCGCTCTCCCTGTTGCAGCGGAGATAGCTAACATCTTTAATGTCATCTCCAGCCTTGTTATGGATTGCCAGTTAGCGTTGTGAAGTGTTGGTGGTTACAGTCGTCGCGTTTTCAGTTCTTTTTGCGGAAGAATGATGCAATTGTTCTGCTTTCAGCAGGATCTCCTTCAGTAATTTAAAACATTCTGTGTCATTAGGCTCTGACTGGAGACTTTGTCCTTTGTCAAGTGCTGCCGCGTTTGTTCGGCATTACCTGTGGGCTGCCTTCTTTCTGGTCATATTGCCAATGAGGTCCTTTGAAGAATCTTTCATCATTCTTCTCTTTCTGTTAAAGAGGAAAAAGGTGGAAATGAAAATTTTATTGGAAGTTTTCGATTTCCGTTTCTTTCATGATCATTGGAAGTCATTCGTAGTACAGTGGACTCTCTCCAGTTCTACTCCTGAAATTTGAAGAATTTGAATCCTCCTATTGGGGTTTCTGATGTCGTGGAATTGTTTCGTGGAGAATGTTCTTGTTGAGAGTCCATCTGAACTCATCGCACAGCACAGTTGATCTCTATCGTACGAGCATATGCTTCCTCCGTTGATGGTGACTTTCTGTCTTTTTTTCGATGCTCAGAAAGCTTTCCATTGGCTTCCGCAGGACATGATCGGGAGTCATGCTGTCTGGAATCCTTCTCGTGTTTTTGCTGATATCTTGGAATATTTCAGTGTACTTGTTCTCCGTGAACCCGTCACTAGTCGTCGATGAAGTTTATCATGTTCCTCAGGCGCAGCGGTATTGCGATGGAAATTTTTCATACGTAAGTTAACTAAGCGTTGGAGTTATTCCCTTAGTCGACGTTATACTCATCTTTCAGTGGGATCCGAAGATAACAACCCCGCCGGGATTGTACGTATTTTCTGCGCTGATGTCGAACATTCTCGGAAAATTCCGAATCGGGGATGCTTGTTCAGTATTCAATCTTAGGTGTCACAATGTTTTATTGCTGTCGCTTTTGCCCTTTTTGGTCGCTCGGATCCTGGAAGCTAGAAAGGTGAGATCTCTTGAAAACCGAAGTTGTATTCAACAGGTAGAATCGCTAAAAATCTTAACAAGGCTTCTCCTTGTGACCTGCTGCCTTAAATGTCCCCTCGCATTTTACCGAAATGAATCGGTACAGTATATTTTTGTGTGCATCCAGTAATTCGTAATAATTTTTCGATGATCCTGCCCCACTGTTTGATTATCTCCGAAACGTTGACCGAGAAACAATTTTTCAAAATTGTACGATTAATTTTATTTTGCGAGTCTTTGGGATGCTTTTCTTGGGAAGAAAATTATGAGCAATAATTTTTAATACTGTAACTGGAATGAAGGCGTCTTGGTCATGATCCGACTTGGACAAGTAGCATCCCTGTAGCCACCTGGAAGTTTGCACAAGCGATTAGATACAGTATCTTCCAAAAATGCGTTGAATTGCTTCTGTTCTGTCAATTGAACTCACGCGAGAAACAATCAAACTTCGGTTGTACGTTCCGGCAGCCATAATATAGCAATTACAATAATACTGTACTCTATTGCAATCCCAAGATAAAAAGTAAAATATCCGAAAAAGTTTCTTGGCACTTTTAATAGATCATTCTGAGGAACCAAAGTGCTAATCGCGTGAAGAATCGATTCAACTGATTGCTGAAGACTGTATCCTATCTGCAAATAGGCTGTTTTTGTTCGTCATAAATTCCTGGAAAAACATTTTATATTGAAACGGCATGTTGCATTATTGAACTCGGTCAACCCTTGCGCAATATTATAATGAACTCCAACATAAATCCTGCTCTTTAAAAAAATTGGCTGAAGAATTTTAGCGTATCGTCTTTTTCAGAGTTGTACTGTGAATAAGGTGAAGTATTTTTTACGAATCTGTGAAATATGTATCCTGAATATTTTTAGATGTGGTGTACCGTATTTCTGGAAGGTCAAATTTGAATTAATTACTCCATATTAATTTTCAAATGAAACTTGAACTTCTTCATTTAGTTCATCGTTGACCTGCATAGAAAATTGAAAAAAAGTGGGGTGTTGCCATGTGCCTTTGTAAACTTGCTAAGTGTTTGTATGAGGGTTGATCAACTGAAAAATCTGCTAGCTGCCATATAAGATTAACAGTATTAAATGTTTCAGATTTTCTCCGTTCGTTTTTCAAGAAAGTTTTCGGACTTCAGTAATCCTCCAATAGTTCCATTAAAATTATTCGAACCAATCAAATCAGCAACAGCGTAAATTAACGGCCTATATTCTCTTGAAAGCGTATTGCAGGATATGGAATCGGGTTATTTTTCACCCTTTAATATTCCGTTTTATCCGAAAAGTCTTTTCTCTTGATGTGCGCCGAAGTTTCTTCAAATTTTATTCCATTTTGATCCCAGGGTCCTTTGTCAGCTCCAGAGGTGTTGCTCACGATGACCGTACCTTGTTTCCCGGTGCTATATTTCACGTCTTTCTTCTACTACACGGAAACACTGAGCGTCGCCCTAGTTCTCATTGTTATTTGGATGCGATATAGACGGTGGCACCTCGTCGCCGCAATTTTTGGTACGCGAATATTCTTTGATATTTACATTTTCTGGATGAATTCTTGCATCTTCATAACCATCTATATTGCGTTTTGCAGGAGCTTTTTCCACCATGGTCCGACAAACCAACATAATCTGGCTGGGACTAATCGGTGCAGATGCGGTTTTTGAATCCGTCATCGACTTTTGTAAGCTGCATCTTAAAAAGAAGAAGCTTGAGTTGAACCAGTTGGATCTCAATACTCCTACCATTTTGAAGGTAATAGATAGAATCCATGTTTTTTTGGGGGGGGTGTTCCTTGTATAAACCCGAGAAATCGCCATTTGTACACGTCATATTTCATCGTTCGGCAACCCGTTCCTTAGTAACTTGAATATGCTCAATCTCCGTGCAGTGTTCTGTAAACGAAGTAAACAAATATCGCAGAGAAAAAGTATATTCTTGTGCAGGGTGTTGTAAAGTTGCTGTGTCGTGAGAAATCGTTGCTATATGCTATAATTTCGTATTTTGGCCACGGTCACGCGTTGATCGGGTGTGTTCAGATCTCAGCAGCAGCCAGAAAACGGTTCTTTTTTTCGATATACAGTATCACCTTGAGTTTCACCAGATTCCGGGTTTCTCTGTATTCAGTATACTGTTCATCAACATAGATATATACTGTACAGTACTGGAGTACAGTACCATACAAAGGTTGACCGAATTTCTGGAAGATTTTTCATGAAATCCCGCTACATTACCATTTATGCGTAGCATTTTTGCTATGTAGTGTATTTAGAAATACGTTCGCAACGCTTTTGGTGGATTTACCATAAATTTCGATGCCCCTCGGCTTGCGTATTAATCCGTCCAGATTTTAAACACTCAAAAACGGACAGATTCCTTTTACAACGATCTATCCGGACACCCATTGTCTTGCGAAGTATATGTATATTGTACTACTGTACTGTATTTTCAACGCGTTTAAATTGCTCTTTCAATTGTTGGAACAGTTATCTTTCGGAAATTAGCACTGTATTGAAATTTTGAAAAGGCAGTTATTCGTGTTGATTTTAAGGATTTTTCGTTTTTCAGGTTATATATACAACGGTTGTGCATAATATGCATCGGAAGAAGCGTTTTGATCTGCTGCTCAAGATTCTGTTCGTTGCAGTCCCTTACGTGATCGTTTTAGGTGCCTTTGTCGCTTTCGCGATTTGGAACGGAGGAATAGTCGTTGGAGACAAAGAAGCTCATACATTAACTCTGCATACACCTCAAATCTTGTATTTTGCGCTCTTCACTTCGGCGATGACGTGGCCGATCCTTTTACCTGAATTGCGTCTTTTTCTTGTCGGGTTAAAATCTCCTGCTGGGATGACCAGGTTTCTGTTTCTTTGTGTCCTTTGTCTATTGTCAATTCGATTCAATTCCAAAGCGCATGCGTATCTTCTGGCTGATAACCGTCATTACTCGTTTTATGTCTGGAAGAAAATTTTGGGTCATCCCTGGCGCAAATATGCGTTAGTTCCCGTATATGCGGCATGTTTACGTATTATTTCTTCCGCTTTTTCTAAGAGTCGGATAAATTTTCTATCTCTTGCGATGTTTTTCATTTCGGTTGTTGTTTCTCTTACTTTCCAAGAGCTGTTCGACTTCAGATATTTCGTTATTCCTTATGTAGTTTACAGGCTACATCTTCCTTCCGGTTCTTCGACCTTAGGCGTCATTGAGCTTGTATCCTTTGTGATCATCAATGTCTTCACTATTTACGTTTACTCTGAGAAAACCTTTTTCTGGAGCAACATTCCTGATCCTCAGCGAATTATCTGGTGAACTTGTTTTGTACATTAGACGAGTGTGATAATTAAAAAAGTATGAAAACAATTTTTTTTACCCTTTTTCATTTATTTTTCGCTTTTATGGTGCCTCGAAATTTTCTATATTTTTGACATGAACTTACTTAATACTGATGCATAGAAACACTGTCAAGGGCTGAAATATAAGTTCATTTAAGAAATATTTCAAAAATTTATTCTTTTATAATAAATCCATTCATTTTATTTTCTATACCTAACCATGATCTGCTTACATTTAGACCTCTTCAGAGCCAGCATGGGCATCAGCACTTCCGTACATTCCGAAAAAAAAATAAAAATAGAGGAATGAAACTACTGTATATAGCTCAGGAAAATCCTTCAAGCAAAGCTTTCAAATTGCAGTTTATCATATACTGTATTAACTATTACCATGACTTCACGACTAAATAATTCTATTTTGGGCCGTTTTATTTGGTACGTATGGTCGAACGGTGGAATTTGACCAAATAACTTACAGCCAGGGTAAAAGAAAACGAAAATTGTGGAATAAATGGTTGTTCAGAACTTCAGCAGGCTATTATGCAAAAGTCAACTTAATTTGGCTGATCGATTTGGGATGTGCACTTGAAAAGAATCCTGATCATATAAGTGGAAAACATCTGGAAATTATTGTACTGTAATTGATGAGGAAGCTGCTTGAATTCATCAATAACGTAGCATACTTGCATTTGTTCGCTCATCGCCTGCACCAAAACAGAATATTGGGATTCGTGGAATTTCGACTGCTGGATAGTGGCAAGTTCAACATATATCACTGACTAATGTTTAGGAAGCTGCATGGCAATTCGAGCAATGCAAAATAGTTCTGACATACCTTCCGCGTTTTGTTTTTTCCACCATAACCTCGCGATAAGAAAAGCTGGTGCAGTATGTTGTATTCAGTCATACTTCTGCTGGGGCACCAAAAAATGCTACAGCTATATAGTATATATACATGCAACAATTTCCTGTATGAAAAGTTGCTTCGATGGGGCACTTAAATGGAATCAAAATTTACTGTCATTATTTAACTATGCAGTATATATGCTGTACTCAAAGGATATAATTCACAAAGATCATTGCCGCTGCTGTATTCAACCAGCAAAATCCGGTATTTTATTTCTGAAAAAATCAGTGTGTGAATAACTGCGATTGAGTTGCATTTCAGATTTTTAGTAACATGTATATACTGTATACATTACAGAGTACACAAGAGAAGTGGAATGCTGATACGGTGTATTTACAGGATCCACTGTATTGAATTTACAAAAATTTTGATAAGAAGTATTTTATGTTGCCTGAGTTTGAGGACTTACTGCGGGCTGACGATTTCTATTTGAAACTAACTGTGCATGCTGTACAGTACAGTATACTATTTCAGTTGAAAGCCCAAGCCTAGTACATATGGTTCGACCCTTATTGTGGGCGTTTTCCTGGAATTTGATATACTGTACATTATCGTACCGCAGGCGTAGGGGCATTTAAATCCCAACGCGACTGGTGCGGTCCACGTACCGCATGGTGGAATCGTTGGTGGACCGTAGAAGATGAACATCGGCAAAATTCGATCAGTGCGTGATGTGAACCGAATTTCATTCCCTTTCGTATTTCGAGGCAATGCTAATTACGCCTAATTGAGTAACCGATGTGGTGGAAGCGGAGTTATTGGCCTGACGTGAGCGATAGGAATAAAAATGTGAACCGATATTTTTATTGTCATGTGGCTGTGATCAGGACAGTTTTCCATGAGTATGCTTTGTGTCAAGATTGTGTTTTAAGTAGCGAATTAATTTATATTGCCGGGGACGCATGATATGTTGGGATTTGATTAAATATTCCGGGTTCACTTTCATGAAGGTATACTGGCATGGCGCATTAAATATTGGCACGATTGTTCTTCTGAGGAAGAATAGATACGGCTTAAGCATTGAGTTGTTGAGTGGAAAACTGTGCTACGCAATCGTCTCCGCGAAACATTCGAATACTCATATTAGTAATGCCAAGAAGCGTTTGTGCATTTCGGCGAAACTTTTGCAATCCGCGCGAATGGAGCTACTGTACCTGAAAGTACTGTACAGTATACATTTTTAAGATTCGAAAACTGCGTTCCGTTTGGGATCAGATGTTACTCATTTTAATCCTTTCTCGGTTGTGAAAAAAATCGTAACCTGCAAACTTTCCGTGGGGAGATGTGCGGAGGAAGTTTTGCGATTTTGTTTTAATTGGAGTTAAGTATCGAGCGGATTCAAACCGCAATTCGTCTGCTCTTGCGCGAGTCATCATCGTTAAGGCTCACGGAAATGTAATATTGTCCATCTCTTTTTTGGGCATGTTTGATGGTTGCCGACGTGTGTTTTGGATCATCTCTCCTTAGTTTAGGAAGCCAATAACTTGACCGGAGAGACGAAGTTGAAGAACTGAACTGACGGATGAATGACTCAAATATACCCGATAATTTTACCGCGTTGGCGTGCGTCAGTCGAGTTGACGCCTAGTCAGTCTGACTGACTTCGTGGAATTACAGTAGAGATATTTTCCAGTTTCACCTTCTGCAGATGATTCTGTGTATTGGAACACTTATTCCACTCCTAGTGAGAGTTGGTATTTGTTCAATTTTAGGAAGCGTGTGCGTCTAACAAGATCGAAAACGAAAGAAAGTCTGTTATTGTCTTGAGGTTGAAAAGACATTATTTGGGTGTGGCTTTTATTAGGAGTGAAATCATGTTCGCCTCGAGGTTTCTCTTTTTTTTTAGTATACAAAAACTTTGTTTAACAAAAACATTTCGTTAATTTTATTTTTAAAGTAGGAAAATTATGGGATGATATTAATACCAAGATTATTTCCCTGTGTTCACAGATTTCGATTTCGGCGTTCAGCTGTCAGCATCATGGAAGGAGGAATGAAGTGCATAAAATTCTTGGTTTTCATCTTCAACCTGTTATTTGCTGTGAGTTATTCGCTAATTTAATCTGTGGAAAAAGTAAAAGTTGTCGTAATTTGTTTTGTTTTCTTTGAGTTCCACCTGCAGTAAAGAAGATACATTTTTTTCTCTTATAAGGGAAAGAAAATAAAGTACAGTACTGACTCGTAGAGTACAGTAAAGGAAATGCGCGAAACTTAAGGTCGTCTCTTGGATAATCACCATGCTACTCAGTCTGCAATTTCATCAATCTTGTCAAGTGCAAACGGTGGTTCAGCATTATTCGACGGTGTTTACGTTTGCTTTGTATAGCTGTCCGGTCTGGCCATTTTGGCTACGGGGGCAATCATGGAAGCAGCGTACAAGGAATACCTCCAGTTTTTGCCGAATGAGATTTTTTCCGCTCCCTTGATTTTGATCATCGTCGGTGTTAGTATCTTCGCGATTGCCTTCTTCGGATGTTGCGGTGCAATGAAGGAAAGTAACTGTCTCATTCTGACGGTAAGTTTGATCCGTGTCGTGTCTATCTGTTCAATTTTTAACTCCTTGCATCCAACCAACTTGTAGTTTGCTGTCCTCCTGGGCGTCATTTTCATTCTGGAAATTTCTGTTGGGATCGCTGCTTACGTTATGAAATCCGAGATCGAGAAAGACATTTCTGTCCGGATGACGAAGTCCGTGGAGCAAGTTAAATTTGATACCGACAGTATCCTGAAGAGGTCGTGGGATGTCATCCAAACTGAGGTATCCTCCAAATGGCCGCAGTATCTTTCTTTACTGAGGGAGAATTTTTCGTTTGCAGTATACAATTTTTATTGAACCTCACTCTTGAGTGTTGATCGGTATCCTGCACACGATAGATATTTTTCCTCGGAGAGAAAATGTAGTAAAATAAAAACTTCATTGATCGAGGCGTTGACCTTCAATCCGATGTCAAATGCCATTCAGAAGCAGAATGTAGAAAATTTTAATAAAAAACCTCAAATCAATGGATAAATATTTTCAATGCAGAATTTCGAACCTATATTTGAGGGAATCAAATTTTACGGGAAAAATGAAATAAATGGCTTACTTTTCAATTGATCTAATACTGTATACTGAAATTGTCCCTTCTTTTGAAAGGTAGTCTAACGATTGTTTGCTTCGTATATTTATTTGTATGTAATCACTTTTCTCTCTCTTTTTTTTTTCAGTTCAAATGCTGTGGATCGTCAAATTACACGGATTGGGAGAAAAACCCCACGTTCCAATCAACCTATCCAAAATCCTGTTGCGGAGAAGCGGGAACAGCTTGTACTGCTTCGTCGGATACGTTGTATCGCTCTGGCTGCTTGGACAAACTTTCCGATTTCATGAAGGACAATATTACTATCATTGGTGGAATGGGCATCGGAATTGCCTTCATTCAGGTTAGTTTGGAAGGAAATTCCATCATACGTCATTCAGGCTTAATTACTTCCGAAGTAAGTTAAAAGCTTTGAACATCAGTCTATCTTGAACCTAAATGAGGAAAAAAAAATAAAATTTCACAACCTTTTGTTGCTCTTGTTAGAGTGTGAAGATGTATTTCATCCTTGAATATCACTGAGATTTATTTTGTTGAAACGCAATCTGGAATTTCATTTAGATTTGTCTCTTGTTGTACGTTCTTGAATCATGGTTTGACCGTATTTTGAATCTTTTCCAGCTTATCGGGATCGTCTTCGCCTGTCGTTTGTCGAACTCGATCCAGAATGAATACCAAACTGTCTGAAAAACTGAAGTGAAGGCGAGTTGAGACCATCATGTTACTTGTTGAGTATCCGGTTCAACTTTCAGGAATGTCTCTTTTTATTTGCTTGTATGAGTCGTGAAACTGAAAGTGTTGCCAATTGTTCAGAAGATTCTCGGGGAGCATGTTCGGGTGTGATTCATTATTTCGTTTGCCATTCCGCGAAGAAACTGGAACAATCTCGAGTAGGATTTTTTCACATTATTTACTGGCTTCGGTGTGCGTGCATGTACTGTTTTTGAAAGAAAAGTTGTGGTTCGGAGTCGGAGATTCATATTGAAAATCGATCTGAAATGGTGGTAGAATTATTGAGTTTCTTTTTTTTGTGCATCGGTGATGCTGTATGATGCATTGATTCATTACTTTGATGTAAATTTTTTTTATTAAGGAATATTTGCTTATTGCGTTACGCTTCGTTAGATAATTTGTGCATTATTTCTAAATGTTCAAGCCTGCAGGAATTTTAAAACTCGCTCACGAGTGTGCACATGAGGAATTCGAACTTAAATCTGTATGCTTCAGCTAAATTTTGGTGCTCTATTTCAGAAGAACCATTTTGTGTGAACAATGGCTTGTTGCTCGTCTGCTGAAAACTTCCGCGTGTTTAGTCATTATTGAAATCTTCCATGCACGTCAGCAAGAGGCAATTGCAAGTCCTTTTTTTTTTTATACGCAGGATTATCGTTGGAAGTATGCTGAATGACATTTGGTAATTTGTACATTGTAATCGAGTGCTTGAGTTCAACAAGGAATTGCTGATGACTTTTGAGTTTCTCACATGTTTTCTGTTGATTTTTCGATAATTATTTGGCCGCGCTGCACACCCTGAAATACGAAGGAGCTCATTCCAACTTTGCAGATGCGTGAAGGATGGTTGGTTTCTACTCAGATGTTCTGTGTTCCAAAGCAAGGGTGTGTTTTTAGTGAAGACATAGACAGCCGAAGATTTTTTGTACTCGATGTATCTTGCAACAAGGTTACTGCTTGTCCAGTGAAACGCCTGTTCCCGCAGAATCCTCACTTTACTTTTTTGGGAAGTGATCTCCCCTCCAATTTTCAGATTGTCCATTTAACGTCTATCTGATATTTTATTACTGAGATAGTGACAGCAAGAACCCAAGTCGAAGACCAGAATCCCGAGTGCGGTTCATGCCTTGACCGATCATGACTTTTCATCTGATTCCCCGAAGTGGATAAAATTCTGACCAACCCAACAGAAAAGAAATAAGCAGAAAACCCTGCATTTTGAGTAGCTACGTCCAACTCTACGTTCAGGATGCGGCCACAGCAACGAAGATTACTGAATTTGTGTTTTGAATTGTGTTGAAAATGGAAGGCCGAGCCACTTCCAAGATGAAAGATCAATTTTTGGGCGGCATGAAAATTTCAGGGTTAGTCCGGTAGAGGAGAAAACTGGCCAAAGCTCCCGAATGCTGCCACCATACTTTTCGAACGGATTTTCCTGGTGAGGTACAGCTTTAATGAATCATCCAATGAATGAATTCTCTGCTCAATGCATCGGGAAAAAAAAAAGTATTTGCTTCACTTGCGTGGCTGTTTCAAGACGATTTCGTTTGCTCATAGGCTAATGCTGAGCTCGGAAAATACACTGTTCGCTTATTGCTCCCGCGGATTAATGTTGGCTGTATATACCCTTTGATTTTGGACTAGTGTTGAATGGTAGATTGGAGTGTGCTGTCTTGTAAAGCGTTCCGTTTTCTTAATTTAATTGATTTTTGAGAGTGGTGTAGCTGCCAGGAATGGTTTTCTGAAGAATTTTCTATTAATTGGTTGCTTTGGTTTTCTGGTGCGGGTCAGTTGTGACAATATCAAAAGCTGTATTTTCTCATGCAGTGTTTTTACCACCAAAGGAAGGGATTCTCTCCTTTGGGAATTCTTAGAGTCGAGATCTTGAGGGGGCAACCGCGTTAATTCTCTGCCTCAAGTCATGTAAGCAACCCTGCCATAGGAAGAACATGTGCTATATCTGTTTTTTTTTATTGGCGTTATAGTGGTTGCTTTCGAAATGTTGTGTAGCATATTTTCCCTCCAAATCACATGTACTGTAATCAAGGCATTTGGGGTTCTGAACCTAACTGCCATTTTTTGTGTTCCGCTTGGAAATGGGAGTGCTTTAAAAAGTGTTTTATTGGCTTTTGTTCTTGTCGCAATTGGTAAATGAATGTCATTTCCACCAGGATGTTTTTTTCAATGATGATCTTCATTGTTCACCAAAACACGCGCTATAGTGGACGGACTTCTCGCCGGAGCTCACATGTGAGCTGCCAAATTTAAGCTGGCTCCCCCTTCCCCCTGCCTCACTCCCTGAACCCATCACTCTACAGTAACAGTATTGATCTTTTTTTTTTTTTTTACCCAAGAGCAGAATCACATCTTTATTTGTAAGGTCTCCTTTAATGTGTATAGTGGATCAGGAAAACTCATCCCCTTTCATTCTGGATAGAAATACTGTAGTCTTCTTTGTACGAAGTCTACAAATGTACAAGACAGAGACAGGACAAGACCTTGCTAGAGATTCCTGCACAGGATGTCTCAAAAATAGTCTGTGCACTATAATGCCTGCTGTTTTTGGGCAGAAGCTATATGTTAATGCTGGGTTTTATACATACATTATACTCCAAAATCTTGCAATTTTTTACATCATCAAAATATATGTGTACCATCATGCAGGAAGTGGGACGTATCTGCATGGGTTTGAAGGACAAGGGACTAGGCTGCGTCCTTCAAGTCAGAATATTATATAGCATATATTAATATTATAATTTCTCAAGGTTCTGTTTTTGCGGAAGAATAATTATATAATTATTCTTTCTGTTATGTCTCCCTCTCCTTTCTTTTTCTCTCACTTCACGTTGTCCTGTAGTACAACTTTTTGCTCAGAATTATTTCATCATGATAATTTTCTTGATTGCAACAATATATACATACTTCATGTGATCATATATGTATTGTTTGCAGGTCTCCAACATTTTCAGAAACAGCATATGATGAAAATATACACGGGTGAATAATATACAATAAAAGGCTCCAGCAAGTCCAGAAACAATGGGACTTTATTATTATTTTTACAAATGTTTATTATTTCATTGAAATTTTGGAAAAATTTGGAATTAAATTGAAAAATCCTCTTTTCATCATTATGCAGCAGTATAAATGTAGAAAATGGGTTAATAATTAGAAGAAATTGAAGAAGGATTTGAACAGATTATACAGGAATATTTTTTAAATATTGCCAGAAATATGAGAGTTATTATCCCTCATATTTTACTATGCCCATCACTGTTGGACAACCCGCATGCTGACTGCGTCTTGAAATTTGTTCAAACCTGCTTGAATGGCTTATCCCATCAGGAAATTATCAAAAGATCGTATGGAGTTCTAGTACTGTATTGTGTGTGGATTGGCCATGCTGCAATCCTTTGTATTCTACGGCCAATATAAATTTTAGGCGAATATGGTTTGGTTTGTAAATCCTTTTACTCATTTCCGGTTGGATAAAATGAAGGAGACGTATTTTTTGCTTGAGCTTTCACTGAATGTGTTGAAGGCATATTTTTTGGTGCAATTGCCATTACTGTATTCTATGCGAGTCTTCTAAGATACGGCGGTATTACTGAATTTCCACAGATAATAAGATATCAGCGATATCTACCGCGGGTATACACAGTTAGTACACCCTCACTGTAAAGGATTGGCAAGGAATCAATGCCTTACTCGGGAAAAGTGGCCCTTCCCTATGGTTCAGAATCCGGTTCAAGGCTTCATTCCTAAGATGTCGTCCTCCATGACTATTACGGTGCATCGATTTCCTCAACAGTTGGATTTGGTCAAGGAAGGGAGTGATGATCGGACGTCGAAGTGCGAAACGAAGTTGTAACTAGTATCGACCGATTGACTTGCGTTGTCGTGCTGTTCGGCTTTTTTATGATCCTTGGTTAACGAAGATTTGAGGCACGCGGACTTGATTTTTGTTGAATTTACAGGTGTTCTGCTTTGCGTTTGCGCAATTTCTTTGATGGAAGCTGATTCCAGTGGTGGCTTTGAGTCACCGCCTGCAGCTCCTCAGGAGCTACTTCGATATTCTGTGATACGTGTTTATACGAGCGAAGCCATGATCGAGGACGCGGAGGATTCCGGGAAGCGAGACTTCCCGAATCTCAAGGCCAGTGCGAACGTTGCAGAGGAGGTATAGCTTTTCAGAGTTTTCCTTTCGTAACGAAGCTTACCATTCTTATTGCAAACTGAAGGTGAATGATGAAATCGTGTGCCGGAATGCAAATGCTGCCTCGACTTATCGCATCAAGAATGAGGACGTACAAGAAAATCGACTGACTGTCGACAAATCGCCTTGTGATATGTTACAAATTACTTCGGAAGCGAGGTCGAATGCGAATCGTGGATTTCGAAATCTAGTTATGGACTGGTGGCGTTTCTCTCATGGACCATGCCAGTTAAAATCGACCCACATCTGTGATATCAATTGCAAGGACATGTCCGAGCAAATTGCCGATGCTGTTGCCAATCTAAAAGCTCACCTCGGTAAATGTGTTAACGGCTCGTATCCGCGTGGACCTGCAAATCTCGACAGTTGGGGTATTCATCGATCTCTTCGACTACGTGGTGGCGCTGGCGCTGCCGCCGATACGAATTCCAGTGGAGGCGGTTGGGGAAATTCTGGTGGATCAAATGGTTCAACGGCAGTTGGAAACCCTCCGTCCTGGAACCAACCTCCACCAAATGTTCCCGCCGGGCAACAGCCATCGAATCCCTCGTGGGGTCAGCAGTCGAATGGTACGTGCTTTACGAATTGCCCTCGTATGTTTTGTTCATCTGTAAATATATCTTACCGATGCAATGCTAAAATAACATTCTTCGTCCGATTGTGGAATTTTAATTTACAGAGAGTGGTGATGCGTCGGGGAATTCTGTTGGGTCTGGAGCCCCTCCTGCGAATGGGAGTGGTACGTCGTGGGCACAAGCAGCTGGGAAAGGGCTCCCGAATAACACACAAGGAAACTCGAATAGCCCTGGAACTTCTGCAAATGGTTAGTCGAATCGAAATTTGAAAAGGAGATCAGGTTCTAATTCAATCATGTCAATTCCTTAGGTAACGGTGGACCTGGCTCCGGTCCGTCTCACGCTTCTGGATCCGTCCCTAATGGCAGTAGCACCTTGTCAGGTAGCTCTAACGATTCTCAGCAGCAGAAGCGAGAACTGGAGAAAATTAGGGAAGCTCTGTACGCAACGGACGGCTGGGGAGGAGTGAGTGAATTATCTCTCGTCAATGCCAAAAACTGCGAAATTTGAGGAGTGCTCCGTTTTAATTTTTTAGAAAAACGTCAATCAAGATTCAGAATGGATTGTTCCACCGTCCCCGCCACGAAGCCCCACCAGCGAAAACCCGTCTTCATGGAAAGCAACGAACAACTCCAGTATGTTGTGGCGTTTTATGTTCGTGCGCTTTAATCACTCTTAATTTTATCAATTTTGTTTTACAGCTGGTACGGAACTGTGGGAGAATAACATCAGAAATGGGGGCGTATCTCATCGAATCCCGGAAATTCCGAATAGCACCGTTAAACCTCCGTGGGGTCGCTATGGCAATTCCAATGAATTTGGTGGTCAATGGGATCCGGATGATGAAAACGGAGAACCTGGCCAATCTTGGACCGCACCTCCACCGAATCAATGGGGTTCTGGAGTGAATGCTGGACAAAGTAGTGCTTCCGGAATGTGGCAGGCGGGCAAGGATAAATCGAATGTTGACTGGTCAAATCCAGGAACTTCAAACTCCGGTCCGGCATGGGATCCGCGAGGTCCAAATACAAATCGCTGGGGTAATTCTCTCCCGGGCCCTGTTGGAAGCATGGGAAAGCCAAGCGGTGGCCCTGGTGTGCCAGCCGGCGGTAGTTGGGGAGCTAAAAGTGGATGGGGCGACGAAGGTGCTGCATCTGGAAAAGGCGGAGATGACGGTACTGCGCTTTGGGGAGACGCGAGTGCCCCTGGGGGTGGGTTTTTGTGTGACCAGATTTGTTCTCTGGTGCAAAATTGCATTTCCTTATCTGCGTTGTGCGTTACTTATGTTAAATAATGTTTCGCAACCTATTTACAGACGAACCTCCTGGCCGATAGACAATTTCTTTGGCTTAGAAACTTTATTCTTTGTGGCCTGTACTGGATGACTTCAGATTGTTGCCCAAAATTGAGGTGTAGCCTCTAGTCTCATGCGATACGTAAATGCGTTGATAGTATGTATTTCGCGAACCAAAGAATGGTTCCAATTTAATTGGTTTGCTCTCGACTAGTGAACTGAATACATTAATCGAATGCTATTTTTCCCACTATGATCGAAGTTTAAATTACGGTAGCGCATATGAACCACATATATGGCGTATGTGTAAATTTTATGGTCGGAACCTTTAGGCAGCGCTTCTGCATTTTTCTAGTTCTTGTTGTGCGGAACGTTTCAGTCACATTGTCAACTTCACTTTGCTGGAGCTCAACTGTTCAAATAATCCCGGGACCTGTTCATGCCATATGTGCAAGAGCTCTGGGGAATTTTTTATTTGGACGCTCCGCAGATCTCGGGTCTAGAAGACTGGTCCCACACGGGCTCCCTAGATTTTTCAGGAATGTTCACCTGAAAAATTGAAGCTTTACAGTTTCTTTTCTGTCTTCATGTTTGTGCGTGATGAAGACAATTTTTTTATTTTCTTCGGAATGGTTAGGTATGCGGAAAAAGGAAGGAATGATGGGTCGTGGTATGCCCGGCAGTGCCGGCGTGAGGATGCCCCCCGGTGGCCGACCGCCTGGGCACCGAGGTTGGGGTGACGAAGGACCCGTCGCACCTGACCCGGCGGGTACCTCGAATTGGGGCTTGCCGCCGTCCTCCCCCCCACATCTTGGTGGTCCCGCTGGTTGGGGACAAAAGCCGAAACCTTCCGGAATGGGATGGGGTGAATCCAGTGATATGTTGGATTCCTCCGGTGGCAATTGGGCCGGACACAAGCAGGTTAGTTTCTTCATGCTCAATCGGTGAATTCTCTTTTGAACGGTTGTAATTTGTGTTTCAGGGGAAAATGATGGGCAAGGATTTATGGAAGCAACCCTACGGTGGCTACAACAAGGTGAGTTAAATGTGTGACATCCTTGTTTCGTGTGTCATGAAAAATCGCTATTTTAATTCCTTTCATGGAACTTTTCGTCGTTTTATAATGACGCTGATCTGTTATTGTTGTCAGGATGATTCCGGGGCGATGGGAGGTGGAAGAAGCATGGAAGAGATGCCCGAGGTGGGCCACAGCTATGGTTCGCATAGAAACGATCCTGCAAATATGGATCCGTCTGGCGTGGGTATGGGTGTGCAGCCGAGCAGTGCTGGACCAGGTGGCTGGCCTCCCTCGAATCTTGGCGGAGGGATGCGGATGGACGAGCATCACCATGGCCACCATGGAGGGGGATTTGGCGGGAATAATCCGTACGAGTCGGGAATGATGCCGGGCGCAGTCGGAGGTGGAATGGGTAGGGTTCCTGGCTCAGGATTCTCTGGACAATCGCAACCAAACCTGCCGCAGTATATGCAGGTGAGCAATTTGGAAAGAATTGAAGCTGCATTCGCGTGACTAATGATTGGAGGTACAAATCTGCGTGAAGGAAACTTGCATCTCGCTATTTTTCCGTGAAATGTAATGCAGTCAGTGGATGACTTCCGGAAACGAATCAAAATGTAGTACTGTATTACGAAATGTTCATCATCACTTGATATTTTTTCTTTGGGACGATGGACGTTGCTTCTATTTACTTTTGGGCTTCTGGTGAAATTATGGCGTGCTAGTGTAAGAGATTCCCCTTCAAAGGAAAAATTCTGAAATCAAAAATTTCTTGTGGCAATTAGGGAAGAGGTTCCGGTGGGCCTGGAATTCCCGGAGCCGGTGCAGGTATTGGATCGTCGTCGGTTGGATCCGGAGTGCGTCAAGGACAACCTTCTTCGCAGCAATTACAACTTCTCGTTCACCAAATTCATGCCGCAGTTCAGTCAGGACACCTCAATCCTCAGATTTTAAATCAAAAACTCAGTTCAACCACGTTGGTGTTGCTGCACGATTTGCTGAATCAGATCAAAATCCTCCAAGGGCTGATGTCGCAGCAAATGCAGTACCAGCAGGGTCAAGTTCGTGGTCTGCCACCGAATGCAGTGATGCAAGTGTCGGTGAAGATAACGCAAACTAAGCAACAAATTCAAAACTTGCAAAACCAGATCAACGCCCAGCAAGGAATTTTCACAAAATCTGGTGGCCCGCATCTCGGAGGACCCAGTGCAATGATGATGGACTCAAATATGACGGGTGGAAGCGGGTTCCAGAAGTTTGGTCAAGGTCCTGGGGCGGCAGGGTTCGGGAGTGCCGTTGGCCAGGATCCGATGTTCTCGTCAATGATGGGATCTATGAATCTTAATGCGTCCGGAATCTTGATGGGATCGGGTGTGGGGATGGGTTCCCACACAAATCCCGGAGATGTAGCCGGAGTTGGTGTGGTGGATTACCAACAACACACTTCCGGAATGCAATCTTCGTCGTCGAGGTTTTTTAATGATTGGCGTGCCGGCGATGCGAACAAGCGGGATGACGGAAGTGCTGGACTTGGCTACTGTGAGTATTTTCGTACGTTTGCTGATGAGGAAAATTTCTAATGCCGTATTAATCAAAATACTCCTTCCTCGAATTTTTATGTAAAAACCGAAATTTAGAATTTGCTATTAGGGAACACAATTTTTTGCCAAGGCGAATGAATGATTTTTCTTTACAAAAATAACATGCCCTTCTAAATCAATACTGCACCCTGAGACGGTGTGTCTCTAACGTCCTGGGTTTGAAAGGTGTGTATGTGTTGGTTGAAAGGTACCGTACTCGTATACCTGCCCTAACGGGTAATCTGCCAACGTTTGAGTATCTGAGCCAAGGGAAAACTGCTACAGTGTATTACTGTACAGTAATGTGAAGTACAATACTATATTCAATTTTTCTCATTGCTTTGTACTTGGGAAGAAAAGCCAATCCTGTTCGTGGTTTTCAAACGTTGGAGACGAGTTCTTTTTTTCACGTAGTGTACTTCGGTTTTTACCTTTTTAAAGTTTTAAACAATATTTTTTTTCTCATCTGTTGCCCTCCTTTGAAACTAAAATGTTCAATATTTCAACAGCTGGTGCAGGGATGCTTGGAGGAGCCGTTGATGGAACTTGGGCCACGACAAATATGAAGGTAGAAACTGGGGGCTGGCCAGATTCTGCCATGGGCGGAGTACCCGGTTCGCAAGTCGGTTGGAGTAGTGGTGGAGGAGTCGGATCCAGTGTCGGGTCTTCACATTACAACATTTCCGATCTTCCCGAGTTTGAGCCGGGAAAACCCTGGAAAGTGAGTTCACTTAACGAACGCTCATGAATCCTTCCAAGACCGAATCGAACAAGTAAAACTAGCGTGTTTGCGAACTTCGATTGAGTCAAAATTTGTATAGTATAAGACCGGCAGCAATGTAAGTGCATACCGCCCAAAAGTTCGAAGTTTATGAAGACGAGAAGTCGGCTATTTTTAGTAGTATTGATGAAGCTCGAATAAAACGACTAAAAGAACGCGGTTTATCCTTTTTTACTACGTTAAGTATATTTTAAAGTACTGCTGTACTTGATTTGTAACTTCTTTTCCGAGATTTTGTTTGCATTAATTTGTTTTGTGGTTGCTTCCAAAGGGAAACCAACTATTGAAAAATATCGAGGACGATCCTACGATTACTCCGGGATCCGTGAAGCGAAACCCATTTTCTGTGGCAGCGATTAAAGAGCCCGATCTTGGTATGAAGACACCGTTGACCTCATCTGAATCTGCAGCGACCTCGACTTCCACTGGATCTAAACCTGGCAGCGGATCTGGTAGCGCTGTCGTATCCACTTCCGGAGCTCCTGGTTTTGGCACGTCTACTTGGAGTTACTCCTCTGGCCGGTGATAATTTTTCGCTGATGTATTGTGTTTTTGTTTTATCACGGTATTTTCAAAAATCTGATCCCTTCACCTGGAATTTATTTCGCATTGATTCTTTAATTCCTGCACGGTACAATATTCGTTCGATTGCGCGGTTCATGAATCCCATGTGTTTTTGCAGTGTGGATAAGCGAAAGTATCCTTGGGCAGAGTACAGTTGTACTTTCGGGGTTATCCATGTGCGAAGACCTGAATTTATGCTAATTCTAACACGAACGAAAGATTTTGATCATCTTTTCACTTTCAAAGCAACGTAGAAAATTGATTGAAAATGTTGGCGTTTCATGGCTTTTGTAGGTACAGTATTTTATCGTATCTGGCGATATTCGCTATTTAAAAAAAAATTTCGTTCTTGTAATTCGCTTGATAGCTCAAATCATACGCTCCCTCACGTTTACGTGCAAGTAAACCTCTGGTATAAATACAGCCCATTTCAATCAGCGACCGCGAAAATGACCACTGCGGATTCGGCAGAACACCCAGGGCTCCGAGCGTTTTAATGTACAGTTATTTTGATTTTTTCTTATGCAGCAATACATGGCTCGTTCTGAACAATCTGAGTCCAGGCATGGACTCGTCAACGTTGAAAACACTGTGCATGCAACACGGTCCTCTGAACGCATTCCATGTGATGTCACACCAAGGCGTCGCACTCGTGCGCTACTCATCGTACGATGAAGCGTCAAAAGCTCAGGCCAGCCTGCACAACTGCATTTTAGGCTCGGCCACGATCCGTGCGGATTTTGCGTCCGATTCGGACGTTCAGTCTTTCCTTGGGAATTCATCGGTTCAGCAGTCCGCAGGGGGAGGTCAAGGCATGCAGACCTCGCAAAACCAGATGCAGCAACTCAATTCTTCCGCAACTTGGTCTAGTGCCTCGATGACATCGCAAGGGTCTGCGAAGGTACGTGTATAGAGTGTACTAAAAATGAACGAACGCATGTAAAAAAAATACAAGGGGATCCAAACTCCAAATCCCCTTTTTTGTTGAGTAGATTAATATCCTGAGTATTGCGGAATACCAATGCATTTCAAGATCGTAGATTTATTGTGTTGGTCCACTTCCGGAAACCTGATGTTTATTCAAGAAAAAAATTATTTCTCACAGCAAACAAAGGAATAAGATACATCATGTTGAAGAAAGAGGCTTTGTGTAAGCACTAAATTGATTCCTTGTTTGTATCAGGAAGAACTTGAAAGGAAGATTAGCTCAAGTATTTTGCTGAGAATCCTCTGGCGTGGCTTTTTATGAATTTACGTAAAGCTCGCGGACATTGTCAGCTGCCTTCTCACAGAGCCACCACAATGTCATCACCGATAAGATATCATGCTTTTATTGCGGTTTTTGATTGCTAAAAAGCGTTAAAAACTGATACCGAGGAAAGAAAAAAAAACGTTACGGACACTATCAATGAGGAAAATTCTAATATTCGTATTATTGTTCCTGTTCACAAGAAAAAAGCTAATGCATTGACGATGAAATGTAAAATTAGGATTTGCGTTCGTAATTGTTCTCACATCAACATCAAATATTAATTTACGAAGGTCTTCACACTTCTACGGATTTTTGTTGGCGGGGATGTTGACGACAAAACAAAGCCATGTTATGAATAGAAGAGAATGTGTGCAATTCTGAAAGGAAGCATTTAATGTGACTATCAAAGAATTTATGGAGATACTCATTACCGGCGATAAGCTCACGAAGTTGAAATAACAAAATATGCACGGACTACTGTATATTATTAACGGTTAATATCAGAAACATTTAGTAATTTTTCTGGAAGATTTTGACGTGAAACAGTTTTCTGAAATCGTCCAGGTTTGTCGAAGAGGTTGGAAACTGCCGTAAATCGCTAGATTTCTAAAATACTGTACAGTACTGTACGCTATGACACTCTCAGACTTACTTCACAGTATTTTTTCAATATTTTCATTAGACTCACGAGACGTCGTGGGCGCAGTCTGGTATGAATTCATGGAGCGGCGGCGGTGGAAATGCTTCTTCGCTGTGGGACTCCGCCGACCAGTCACACTCGTACTTGCCTGACAATCTCATCTAAATGTGGAAGACTGATTCCAGAACCGCCCTCGACATTCGTCCTGATTCGTCTCTGAAGTATTTGTATGTGTAGAAACACAAGGGCATGTGTTTATTCCAGTGCGGCGAAAACGTGAGGGACCCGGTTGACTGTTACTGTTCTTGGTTTGCTGTGAACAGTGTTCCGTGGCGTCCGTTGATTTCGGCGTTAACGTTACGGCTGCCCTGACTGCATCGTTTCGCCAGTGTGGGGTTGAGTGAGTTCGGAAGTCTAGAAGCTTTGCTGAAGAAGACTGCCAACAACAGGCTTTCGTTCTTGTACGTAATTGCTGAAAATCTCTCACAAGAAAGAGCATCTTGGGTTCGGTCCAAGTGTAATTAAGTGCCCAAAGAGTTTCGGTAATAACGCAGCATTATACTCTTGGCTCATGTTTGAGTCACGATCGACCTTTCGACTAGAAATATATCTACTTTATTTGGCTTCGGAAGAGAAAAATCCACGAATCGACTCGTTTTGGTGACGTGCTTATTGTTCATACACGTAAATTTATTATATCTGAAGTGTCAGTTGAACAGGTCGGAGAAATCATCTGCTTTTCAATTAAGATTTTCTTTAGTCGATAGTTTATCGCGTGATGGTCTATCAATTATCTCTTCTTTTTTTAAATGTCTCCGATTTGACGGTAACAAAGATATGACCTTCGTTGCTCACGGACCCTGGCGGTGTGTGGTTCATATCTTAACGATTGCACAAACCGCAGCCTGCCGTGCTTCAATGGGATTTCATTGACGAGTTGATGTGTGATGATGGTGGGTGTACCTGAAGTAAGAATAAGTGACCTGCTTGCTGTACCAAATGCTATTTCGCTGTTTATGAGTGCTCCTTTATCTCGCTCGCTGTTCGTGTAGCGTAGGACATTTCATTAGATTTATCTACTGGTTTGTGTAAGATCATCCACATTTTCCTGTGCTTTCCTGTCCGGAAAAACTCGCCATCCGATTATGTTTATTCTCTGAAACGCAATCTGAAGATGAAACTGCTTTTGTCTATGGATGAACTTTGGACGTGGGAAACGAATGTTCCGAATCCGGTAAACCGTGCATGAAAATCGTTGTGCATCCGGATTCACGAACTTTTCCAACATTTCCTGATTCAAAGAACTCTTAGAATGATGCGCGTTGTGTGTGTCTCATTTCCAAGACGGTTTTTTTTTTTTTTTGGATGTTGTGACAGTATTCCATTCTCAGTTGAATTTCGCGAAAGTCGGCGACCTAGTCTCACTCGTTATTTACTGAAGCCTGTTTTTTGTCATTTTTGGGGACATTTATGAAGGCTAGTGTCTTTTTCCCGCGGAAGATGGGATCCCTTAGCTTTTTAAAGACTCGGCGGTATGCTCATTTAAAGTGAGTTCAATTGGGGACCAACAACGGATCGAAAAAGTCTGAGCAGATCAGGAATGTATTAAGATCCATCTCCATAGTATGTGGTCCGACTAATACTACTTGATTGAACGTGTTGGGAACTACGAGGGCTAACTGGTTTCTGCGCAAAATTTGTAGAAAATATTTAAACCAATGAAAGATTATACCTTTATTCGTTAATTTTTTCATAATGGCCGTATGTACATTTTAATTCTCTCAGTAGCTTCCATATTTCGAATAAAATAAATTCCTTGAGCATGAAATTGGGCGTGATTGGAACTCGTGTGCAAATTAGGCAAACTTTCAAAACTCAAATGTTCATGTCAGAAGAATCTGACTTGAATTACCTTTTCATTCGAAAATTCTTGAGTATCTCAGTTGAACAGTAGTACAATACTTCGATTATTTAGGCTCCACTGCGTCTGACGCTAAACTTTTTTTAAAGGGATCCAATTAGCCTGCCTACCTCCCAATTTTAAATGTAGTTTCTTTATTTTATTCATATAATTATCCAGGCCAAAGCATTTCAAGTTCAGTCTCATTCTTGAAAATAATTAACCGTTAATATAATTCGTGTTTTTTTTTACACTTCGAAAACTTCTCATGTGTGAACCAGGTAACCCTCTTCGTTCCCCAATTTGAAGGCCTCAAATTCAACTGGCGATCATTTCTCCTCTTGCCTTGTCAAGGTGCACCCGTGGTCGTTGTTTTTGGCCGCAGTGGTATTCTGATAACTCTGCGTTACCAAACTGGGGTAGCTTCGTAAAAGAAAAGAAAAAGTACGAGAAAAAAATGAATTCTTTAGTTTTATATCTGGTTTTTGAGCGTCCGGTCATGATCTCGCTGTTCCGCTACCGCCCGATTTGTGCAGTATCCAGGTACGTTCAGGTGACCTTGTTGATTTTTTTAAGTAATCACCAGTGTGATGAAGATTTGAATTTGTCCGAAATCGTGCCAAAAGTATTGCTGAGTCTTGCGAAATTTGTCCTCCCTCACTTCGATCTGCCTACTAGACCATTCTTTTTTTTTTCTGACTATAGTGACGTACTTCGTATCATTGTAAAGGAAAGCATCTTCGACCGAGATCACGAAGTTCCGTTTTGTTCGTCCCGTCCATTCAGTTAGGAAGTTTTCACGGAAAACGAACGGCTTTGCAACGGGATTCCCTGGATTGTGGTTTATTTGAATACGAGAAGTATGGATTTATGTTGAGAATTTGACTCGTGGATTCAGCGTCCAAGTGAATCTGCAGAAGTACCGAGATGAGGATTTGACGAGTGATAACACCAAGATGGAGTTTTGTCACTTCGTGATGAAAAAAAATTGTTTCTTCTGATCGGGCGATCTGAAGGAGGCATTTGGCCTTTAACAACGCGTCTCATGTTCGCGTTTACGATATTTTGTAGTCGCGTCTATTTTTCTGTTCATAACATTTTTTTCAATGCCAGAGAAGTGCAAACTTTTTTGAATGAGCCGCACCCGGAAAACCCCATTCGATTATCTGTCCAGCTGGAGCAGATGCATATGAATTCTTGGCTGTTATTTTTTTTGTTCCTTCAAGATTTCGGACCGTTTTTCATGTTTTTCCGATGGAGCATATACCTTGAATATTTTGAGTCCTGAAGTTTTGACATACTTGAGAAGGGGAAAAATAATTAGATAGTGCTGCTCTATGAAAGCGTTCTTTGGCCTTGACCTTGTTTCTTGTAACACTGAGATGTTGGAAAGTCATGCATGACTGATGCCATTAGAGGAATCATGTTCCACGTCCCTCGAAACGATGCAATGGTAAGCTGACGGAAATCCGAGCAAGAATTTTCTTTTTTTATTGTTTTCTTTTCGATGGGAGGAATCCTTTGTGTCGGAAAGTTCTTAATGCTGAAATCAGGATAGGCATTTTACCCTCGTGCTCTTCCATTGGGTAAAAACGAGTGTGCTGTGCAGTGATGACAGTCCTCACGAAAAGTGCTGGATTTTTTTTCATTTGATTTTGCTCTGTTGACGCGTGAGCGCTGTATCGATGGGGGAAAACGTTGGCCTGTAAGGGATTTTGCGTTAAATACGGAGCCATCCGGGATTGGGATCGGGATAAAAGTGATGTCCGTTTGATGTTGACGAATTTTTGCGGATGGGAATACGGCCGACCCTTTCTGTCGGATTTTTTTTTTCGAGTATCTCGTTAGCCAAAGCTTTCGCCGTTGAAGATCTTTCGTCGAAGATGTTTTTGAGACGTCTGTGAGGTTTGGTGCATTTTGATTGTGAAAACGGTTGTCTCGAGATTGCGCAAGTGCGTTTTGTTGGGAACGGTTACAATGGAATCGATGCAAAAGCCTGCCATTTGTGATACAATGCTCGAGCAACGCGTTCAAGTCGCCACGCCAAACCAGATTTCTAGCCAGTTCTGCTGGAATGTCAAAACCTTGTCCTGTAAAAGGGTGGTTGGTGGTCCCAGCGTGAGCGATTTCGCATATCTGATGCTCTTAGATGCATGTAGAAGTTTGGATTCGTTGCGTATGTGTTAGGGGATGGTTAACAAAACTGAACGATTGGGTTTGTAATTCGCGTTCCACTCGGAGATTGTTGCTTGAAAGTGAGCCGCGATTTGTTGTTCGGATGAAAGAGTCCAGCAAACGAATGCGTGTATATTATGAATATATTCAAGGAATAAAAGATAGTTCTGGCTACGGACCACGTTTTGTTGCATTCCTTTTTGAACTTTGGTCTTCGCGTTAACTCAACAAACTTGATCTGTTTTGGAAAGCGGTTTATTATGCAGGTGATCTCTCTTCGGATCCTATCGAAATATTTAAATGTTTGCCAAACCGGAGCAAGCTGATGTATGCCAAGGGGATCATTTTGCTGCAAGACCCTCCGAAGTGTGAGTAGGTCGTCAAGAATTGAAGACTAATTATGGTTGAACTCTTTTGTAGATTGCAATTGCTAATCTTTGAAATTGGCAGAATCCTCGAGAAACCGGAAGACACCGAACCTTCCATAAGTGCTCGGATCATCAGCGATGACGTTGGTCGTGGCGTGGAGGATAGGCCAACGAACGAAATCTAGGTCTTTACAAATACTAACAACTAAGCGACATTCGGACGATCAACGTAAGAATTATGGTAAGTATATACTTTTTTAGCATTCGAATTGGCAGCAGCGGCGGTCGTGTGATTGATCCATGGCCTTAGCGGTCAAATTATTCCCACATATCGATATTCTTCCATATTACACAAGAGGCTATAAAGATATTCTTGAGCAACCTTTTAAATAAGATTGCACCAGGTTGTTCTGAATGGACTACGAAAATTTGATTTTTTATGATTTTAATTCCAAGGGCGCTGTAATGGAGCAATTAAATTGGAAATTCAATCTGCGCTTTCATTTTGGAAGTATGATTAACAAATCTCAGCAGGCATGATTATTTGAAGATGGTCAACCATGAATATTTCAATTGAACGTCGCTATGTACATTTTGAATTTCAAAAATCCCGTGTACGCTCGTCAGCACTCCGTCATAGGACAAACATTCCATGCTGGGAATTTAAGAATACTGTAGCTAAGCATAATGACGCTTGCATGACATTGAAACATTGTTCAACTCCCTCGTGTAAAAGTGATGGCGCATCAGTTGGAAAATGAGTGTAAGGGATGGAATTCACAAGAAATAAAAAACAGATAATAACAAAGACAAGGAAAGTGGCGAAGATGTGACAGCATGCATTGCAATTACTGTACAATACTATACTTATGAGAAGAATATATTTTTGTAGAGATAGAAAACTAAAAAGAAAGGAGGTCTGAAAAGAGTCTGCGGAAAGCCTAGAGATTTAGTTTTGAAGGCTTAGCATTGTAATTTATTCCAGCATAGCAGCATCTTTTTTTAGTGCAGTTGGATAGTTGGATCTGAATCCGTTTTCTTGCTTTATTTAGCAGCTCGGACAATTATCAGGTGCATAAATTCTGTCTGAATTTCTTGCATGATGCCCCGAAGTGGGAATTCACAGAAATTGCATCACATTCAACTTGTTTGCATCGAAAATATGTACAATATTTACAAAAAATATTTAAAAATGCAAACAGTGCAACTGCTGAGGGAAAACAATGCGCTTTCAATTACTTTAATATTTCATGATTTACGTATCAAAATCACATTGTCCGAAACTCTTCGAGTGTTGACATCCTTGTCTTAATGCAGTCATGAATTGATGCAAGAGAACCTTCTACAATTTTTTTTTGCGAAGTCCTAATGCTCAAACGGAGGGGTTTTTGGTCCTGAATTGCACTCCTCGGGCCTTCAAGAAATTCGTGATCTTGATCAGCTGGTCGATCGACAGTCCCGCGTTTGATTTCTTATTTTCCCTGAAGTCATCCAAATTCACGCTCCTAAAAATGATTTAAAATTATTGAATCAAACCCGCGGGAAATCGGTGGGTATTCGGGAGTAAAATTTACTTGTTGGATGACGAGTTTGAGGATCCCTTTGGGTCGGAACTGCAGCAAGAAGAATTGTTAGACTTGTTGTTCGAGCCCGGCTTTTCGTCGCCAATCGTGAGTACATCACTTCGTCCGGATTCGATTGCTGTGTTCCTTGTTTGTGGCATTGGTGCACATGCAGCCAGTGTCAGACTGGCTACCAGACATAATGCCACCTAAATATTGGCGAAGGAGATGAAGCAAAACTTCAATGAATATACCTCCAAAATTACAAACATTATTTCCATTTGAAATTTTCGTTTGTGAAAAATAATCCTACGGCATCATAAGGATGACCGTTCTTTCGAGTTTTCATCAAAATAGAGTAAAGTGAATGAAAACCTGCAAATTGGAGATGATGAATCGTACCATATTTAATCAAGTATACTGTACAGTCGAACCAATATTCAATAAGCTGGACGAATATATCGACCCACAAAAGCGATTATTGAGACGTTTTTGAGGTACAGAACCAGCATTTTTGCTGAGAAAAATATTACAGGAAGGTAAAAAAAATTTTTTCTGGGCTTAAATGAATCAACCGCGGATTTTGGCTCAACTCGGAGGAAAGTTTACATTTCCCCGATTTCTCTCACTCTTCCTTGCAACTTCAGGTTATGCTTTTATTCCTTTTATATTTCCTATATAGTGGGACCCCAAAATAATTAGAGCCTAGGCTTCGCAAAATTTGAGCTAAAAGGTTTGAGGGAAAAGTTTTTGAGTGATATAAGGTTTATTCGCATTTTATTACAGGGAATTATGACTGGACTAAACAAAAATTTGGCACAGGAAGGTTTTTGAATTAAGGAGGTTCATAACTTGGCGCGTGGTCCAACTGTACCATGTGCACGCCTTCTTATAATCAAGACAGAAAAGTGTGGTCCAGTGCATGGTTATGAATTATTGAAAGAAAAACAACTAACTATGCAACCACATGGTTCAAGTTATTAGGCGGGTATGTGCAGGGGTTGAAATAGTAAACCAGAAAATCTGCGAGCCCCAATCGGCCGATCCTGTCAAAATGCTTCATGTTATTTTCTTCAATTACGAGATTATTTTGTCACAAATTATTGCTGGCAAAGTGTTTTCTCTCGATTTTCAGCCGAAGAGAACTGTGGGTGAATTCAACGTAAAAAAAAATGAAGGTTTAAACTTTACTCAGAGACAAATGTTACTTGATAAAATAAGGCTACTCTAGCATATGCACGGCGGAGGTTTGTGGGAATAAAAATGACAAAGACACTCACCAATTGCTTGTGGTTCATAACTGAATGCCCAAGGTTCACTCAAACAAATCTTAAGCCTGTATTTTGGAAGCAAGATGATACTGTATTATTTTTCGTGTCACACACAGCATGAAATGAAGGATTATTCTGTCTCTGTACCTGACCCATAAAAATATGTGCATTTCAACAAGTTATATTCAAATAAAGATGTAATATTTTGTCAAAGCAAGTTGAAAAAACTATAAAATGAATTTCATTTGTGACAGTCAACAGAATCTATACAGAGCAGTAAATGCTGCTCGTAAGGAAAGAAAAGTGAAATTTTTGTTCTGGCCACCTGGAAACTCCCTCTCTATATCAGCTAGTTGTGAAGCATGGATTCTCATTTTTTAGGAGAGAAAGGTATCGAGAATAACATTTGAAAATCCAGAAGCCACCGTTGCTATTGCCAAGTTTTCGGACGGAAATGAGAAGGTATGATTTTTGGCATTTTAATGTCCAAAAATAAAGCCTGGGATTGACGTTTTCTCTCTTGTAAAACCATACACAAATGCTTGCATTTGGTAGTTGAACATGGCAAAATTTTTCATGAGAGACAATAATTACAGTATTTCTGTTGAATACTGTATATTGATGTTTTCATGCTTTAAAATTGTTGATCTACTTAATTCGTCTGTTGCGTGGAATTGTTTTTTATTTTTTATAACGTCCAGATGAAATTTTTAAAACTTAATGAAGTAGCTGAAATGCGCACATTTCCATGCTTTGAAGAGATAAAAACTGTCTCCAGTTTTTATCTGTTTCACAAACAGTGACAAGACATTTTTCCCTTCTGGTATTTTTGCCATCAAGAGGGGTGACATATTTCACATGTACAGTACAAGGATGTCCAAAAATATTATCTTCATTTTTTGAACATTTTTCTTCTTGAATAATTCCAGGAGAACTATCTTTTCATTTTGCATTTGTTCACTTTGCCTTTTTTAATGGCAGGATTTTTTTCTTCGTAGATTCCTGAAATACACACTTTTTGTGGGTGAGTATAAATACAGTGTATCACTTTTGATTGATTAAAAAAGGCACAAATCAACTGGGTCTGGCGGAGTCACTTGAAGCACTGAGAGGTTAAGTGAATCCACTTCTTGTTCTTTTATTCTTCTGGGCAGCAAGTCATAAATCCCCTGGCAGGAGGAAGAAAGCCTATGGATGGATAAGAGATAGAGGAGAATGTCGATGATAGAATCCAAGGGGAATGAGGAAGTTTTGTATTGCAGTCGACCCTGATGCGTCTCGTTCGTTAAAAAAGTGGGTGGCTTTGAAGCCTCCGATTTTTATATTCCTATACATACTGTATATATAGTACCACAGGTTTCCCATTTTCAAAGTTCATTATCATTTCAATCCAGTTTCTCAGCTTATTTTAACCTATCCAGTAACATCTCTAGCACCTCATTATAAAGCACAGCTTATTTGTCTTTCATCCACACTTGGGGCGGCACTGCGGAAATAAACGTATGCATCCATTCGAGCATTTCTAATCATCTAGATTCTAGAAGATAAGTTACTCAGATATAGGATCTTTTTGTTACACAATGATGGACATTGAAAACTTATACAGGCAATTCGCATGGTATGAAAACAATCCGAATTGTTCTTCATGGAGGAACCTTCATTCAAAACTTCATCTTTAAACGAAAAAAACAGCCATAAATTAGCCATTTTAATTTCTAAAGTAATATGATGCTTAATTATTATCCGGACAAGCTCATTTTGAAAAAATTTTAACTGAGTTTTTCAGTGTTGACTCTGTTTTACGTCTTTTTTTGAGTCCCGAAACTACAAAAATACTTCTTATATATAGTTGGCTTCCTGATTCATCTCCACCCTGCTGGAGGTCAACATGTTCATCATTTTTGTGACTCCAACGGGTGCATGACATTTTGGAGACGATTTAGAACTGAAAGAATATTTTTGGTTGTTGTCAGAACCTTCAAGTATGTTTTTATTTGGAAAATCGATACGCAGAGAATTCTGGGATGGATAATCGTTGTCAGGATTCATGGGAATCATGTGAGAATGTGCCCCGACCATTAAAGCCCATGACACCACTTTTGGACTAACTTAGTTTGGGTGAGGTTTAATTCATATTCACTTCTGGAGAATTACGCATATTTCCGGCAATCATTCCGAGAATCTTTGCTGGTGAACCTTATGATGAGGACCTGTTGCTGTTGAGTTTGTGTCATTAACCTTGCGTTAGTTGCGAATGGCTTTTGAACTAGTGTGGTGAGAAAGTTTGTGTTATATACATAAAAGAGGGAGATCTTATTAATAATGCAGTTCTGGTGAATTCTTGAAATTAAATGAATGACTATAAGCATTGATGAAACAAACTTCATTGTCAAAAAGAGTTCCAAGTACAGTTGGACCTCCTTAAGTCAAACTCGTCAGAGGGATACATAAAAATTTACTTGTACAGTTTTTTAGTTGGGAAAAGTGCATTAGTATTTTACTGTGAAAATGGCTTAAATTCCTTAAGTAACAGCCATTTGAAGTACCCGAAGTTTTCGAAGACCAATTTAATTAAATACCCTACGACTTGAAGCCCATATGTATGTCATAAAAGGATTAGTGTCAGTGAGGCGAAGATAAGTTGCATCCATCGGGGTACAGTACATTTTTTTGTTGCTTTTCTCTTTTTTCCTGAGCTAATACATTTTTAAACCAGACAAGCAGTAAATTGTTTTAATAAATACCGTACAGTAACTATTGATGTATGGATCTTTAAAATATTTCACAGCTGTACGCTTTTCATCATTGTGAAGATGGACGTGTTTCTCTCAGAAGTCAGGACCTTCAAAACATGTTCTTATATAACAAATCATTTTTTCTGTTGGGATTTTTTGTGTATAGTGTGTAAGGGAATTTCACATGTAGCTTTTTGTTTCTTCTTGTACTGTATATACATTATTTTCCCTTATTGAAGCACACAAAATACTTGAAGTAAAATCAGATTAAATCAACTGCGACTCACCGCGCTCATCTGTTTAATGAGTGCATGGGAGAAGAAATGTTTGTCTCATCCTGCAATAACAGCCATTAAATATCATGTGTATGATTTTCTCAGCCGTGTACTGCTGATGTACGTACATCACGACCAGCAATCCAGCATGCAAGCCAGCATGCTCATCTGGTGCGGGATGATATGCATATCAATTTTAAGAAGAGAATTACGTCACTTTTTCCATTCCTGGATCCGTGAGAGCTGAAAAATTAATCTCAAACCAGAAAGACGGTTTGGCTGCATGCAGTAGGTGCACACTACCCTACTGAACAGCTATGTATGATTATAGCTATTAAACTACTGTATTTTGAACCGGGGAAACGGTCAGCAGATAACAAAAACTAGCTCATTTGCATTAGCATGTTGCACTGTCACACATCGTCAGCTTGTTATAAATAGAAGTGCTAAATAATTAATTATAAGGTTGATTATATATAGGAGAGGTATCACTGATGATGGATATGCTGCTGGTGTATCCAAATTCACTCTGGATTCATTTATGATGACTTATTTCCGAATTTAATTATTATTGTATTTTCAAGAAGACTCAAGTAGTCAATTTATTGAAGGGTAGATACGCTGCTGTAACGGAAAATGCTGCCAGCGACGCGCACTTGACGGTCAGGGGGAATAATTAGCGCGGTTCAGTAATGCACTATACTGTATTTTGTTATATCCCCGCCTCTAAAAGTTGTAAGTTACGTCACCAAATTATCGTCTTAACAAAAATATTAATACCACACGATACCTTAATAAATACGTTGCGAATGAAACCAACAAGTTCACCGTTTGTTCTTAGCTACAATTTATGACACGGTCTGTTTTATAAATGCCATGTCCACGTTTGCATTTGTATACCATACTGTACTGTACTGTAACAGGTAAGCGTGAAGGATCAGGAGCGACCCGGAGGTTTCACGTTCACTTCAACCATCGTACGTTAACGCTCTCAATGCTGCCCGAAGTGTGCGCCATCATTCAAAAACTCCCTCGCGCGCGTGTTGAGTTTTCGTGACAACGGAAATTTTTCTCGGATGTGATGATCAGGCGTGGTGTGAGATTTGGAGGATCTGAAGCTTGCGTATATGTATAAGCATTGTTTGAACGCTCTCCGGCTTGAAAAGTTGGAAGGTAATCGACTGGCGCGGAGTATTTTTGAATGAGCCTGTCGGTATAGCAGTGCTGACGATTTGAATTACGGAAGGTGCGGTTAATGGTGGGACCAGATAATACATTCTTCTTCGGTACAAGATAAACTCCTGGCAGCATGTATCGACAGTGAGTAATTTGAAAACTTTTTGCACGTTTCGAAATTCAGTGTTTTCTTGTTATGCCTGCCTCAGGAGGAGTGCTAGTACGGACAACAATAAGCGAAGCCTGATTCCTCAACTGAATCGCCGACGGAGTCGAAGTAATGAAGGCTCCGATCGGAAAAAGAGCGTAGCTGCAATGCCTATGCGTAACTCTGTGTGCCCGCCGAATGCCTTGCGAAATTTGAAAGCATCCCGCCCGACGGGCGTGTGTGCTACACCCCTGAGTGCTTCATCGAGAAGTACGCGATATACCATGAGGTACGATAAAAATTTTATTGAAGGGCGAAGGCGAAAACTCGTGTACGCGTTCGATTGTCCTTGCTTTCAGTGCGACGAAAAGTCCTGGTAGTGCGTTTTCCAATCGCCCGACGAATGATCCATCTTACCCAGCTGCAGTGTCTGATCGAATAGACATGTATTTTTTAAATGAAGGCCACGATTACCGTGTTCCACGGGAATTTCGCACGTCCCAAGCATCTAAGCAGCAGTTCCTGGAGGTATTCGTGGTTCTTGCTCAGAGGCTGGACCCGAATTTTGCCCCGGGAGGAGTGAAGGTTTCTGAAGACGATATTTTGAGAATACTCCGAATGCTTGGCTACAGTGCAACTTTACCAAAGTCGTCCTTGGTAGTACTGCAGAAGAGATCGTGGCCGCAAGTCATCGCAACAATAGATTTCCTCCTGGAAACTATTTCGCAGCTCGACAGTGTGGAGGAGGATCATATGTCTTTAATTTTTCGGAATACGGGAGATCCTGTTGCGGAAGATGCACAAGCTTTCCAGGTGAGGACTTTTTCTTCATTACGAATTGGACTGCGGTAGTATTGAGCAAACTAATCATTGAGAATTGATAATTTCCTTCGACGTCGTTCAGCAATTCAGCGAGGAAAGTTTTTTGCGCTGTCAGCGTTTTGTTGTTAGATGTTTTGCTGAACTTATTTCAATCACTATTTTTTTTCCAGAGTGCTGTCCTTGCTGAAGTGATCAATCCAGACTACTGCGAGTTCGTTTCGGCCGCACATGGGTCTGAAGAGGAAGACATCAACAGGATCAAAGAACGAGCACAAGTTGCCATCGGTATATTCTAACTTTGAATTTTTTGTGAAATCGTTTTTGGAAGAGGAAATTTTACCTTTCGCAGAAAAATTCTACAACATCGACGATGTGGATCCAGAACAAATCGAGAAGGAGAGTTGCGAGTTGGAACGACAACTTGAAGCCCAAAATGAATTATTTCATGTTGCATGTGAAAGATACAAGCAGACTTCTGCTTCCGTGGAAGAAATGGTCACGAGCCGGGACGAGTGTGAAGAGAAAATCTTGAACATCGCCGCACAAATCGAGTCTCTGTGCGAAACAAACGATGGCGTTAAAAGTCGTCTTGACAACATAAGTTCAAAGCTCGCGCATTCTCAGGAAGTGAACGCGAAATTGCGGTTGCAAATTGCCAACCAACCCATGTCCTACATGGCTGCAGAAGAGCTTCGTGGTGATCGGAAAAATCTCAAGTTGAAAATCAACTCCCTGGAGAAAAGCTTGGATCATATGCGCAGTCTTCGAGAAGGGAAAAAAGCCGAGCTGGCTGCCTTGCGTTCTAGTTTCGATTCTCAAGCTCGAACTTTCAACTCCGAAAATCTCCTTCGATTCGGAACGAAAGGCATAAAAGAATTCGGTGCAAATTCAGCGTCTCTCGATCAAGCTTCGATTGTGGAATGGTCACGTACTGTGGGCAAAAACCTTAAATCGACTGCCCAGTCAGCACATGCTGAAAAACAGTCGCTCGCGTTGTCGATTGACGCTTTGAAAACAGAGATTGCATCGCAGGAGAAGCAGCTCTCGGTTGCTAAGACAGAATTAACAATCGACTTGTCGAATGCCACGAATATGAAACAAAGTCAGCAAACAATGAGAGAGCAATGGAAAGCGAACATTCGGAAAGCCACTGATGATTTCCTGGCAGCAAAAAATGCTGCTGCATCGTTGCGGATAGAAAGTTGCGAATTATGCGCCCAAATAGAAAAGCTTGTGATCGCTTCGCAGAAAATGAACGTGAAGCGTGCAGAAGCTGTTACCTTCATTGAGCAGTTGTCTGGCGTCATTGAGCAGAGAAAGCGAGAAAGGAAAGAATTTTCTGCACATTTATTGCAGCGAATCAAGGTACGTTTGGGACTTCTTAAAAGGCCATCGATTTTTACTTTCGATCACCAAACGTTACTATTCCAGGAGAATGTGCAGAGGGGCTTTGCTGATATGGCCGAAGAAATGACGATGTTGACCGAAGGATCAAAGCAAAGCTATGGTCTTTACTAGGTCTTCAACGCTAGCTTCACCCTTCTTAAGAACCGCGCGCGAAGCCAGGCGCTACGGCATTAAAGTCCCTTCGCCCGCTCTGCCACTTGCACACCTTTTTTAAAGGCGGCGTCACTAAGAGTCATTTTTGTGATCTCTCCGCCCTCTAGAGGGCTTGAATGTTTGTATATTTTCTCATGTTCATTGAAGTCATGGTCAACTACAGAGATTGTTTTTACATGCGTTACTTGAGATTAAAAAACATTTTATGCTTTTGTACTGTAATTGCCGTTAGTAATTCGGGGTTTTTTTTTTTTTTAATGTGAATGTTACTTCTGCTTTCCCGGAATCTGTGTCACTGAATTTAAATTTTCGTTCAGTTTAAAGAAAGCATATGCAGTATAGTTCACATGCTTTGTAAGCCTGCTAAACCGTTCAGGTTCTTTAGGTTTTGCCGCGTAAAAGCAACTGTAAAAATTCTAAAAAAAAGCATGAAGAATCGAACATACCTAATCTACTCTAGAATGGGAACCTTTTATAATGAACAAGTATTTTCTCATTTCGAGCAGAAGTCTTCTGATGTGCTTGGAAACCAACTGTGATGTTTCACAATTGCCACTGAAATGTAGAATTCGTGACGGAAAGAGTTTCTTTAATCCAACGTTTTTTGAGATCCATTGCGCTTGAGAATTTATATGTCATTGCTGTCACAATTGGTTTTGTTCGCACGTTAAAAGGTACAGAAACTCGAGCTTTAGATTAAATAATGGGGCGAGAGAATCTTCATATGCTTTGGCATCAGCTCTCACCTTCAATGCCGACCCACATGCTTTTACAATGTCATTTTTATGTCAAACTCCGCGTAATTCCGTAATAGTCCATGTGAGCTTACTTCACTTCGATTATTTTTTGTCCATTCATGCTCGTCGCTTGGATGCATGAATTAAATACAGTAATTGAATCCTGATTTGTAGTTAATGCCGAATTGATCAGAACTGAAATCGTGCAGGATGAAGTCGCGCGTTTCGTGTATCGAGTTATATAAATGTGAAGATAGTGATCATCTGTACTGTACCTCCATTGTGTGAAGAGGTACAGTATTCGAGGTGAATGGATGAGTCCCTAACCACGTCATCGTGGTCGCATCATGATAAGTAGCATGATGTTGCTGGTCGCTGCTCTGTCCCGAGATCAAGGATCGATAGTGAGTTATTATTTTTTTGTAAGTTGAATGGTCTCCTCGACATTCATTTGCTTATCGATTTTTTGTCGTCAACCGATCATTCGTTTTTGCCACCCTCAACTTTCTGATTTTCTTTTTTAATGTAATTCGTTTTGTTCAGGAAAATATACTGTACTGTGCAGTAGTTGAGTGATGTGTCCGGAAGATTCAAATTAGTCAACCTTCTGCATCAGAAAGGCAATCTGCGTTGAGTTTTCAATTCAAGGAATTCATTTCACTGCTGCATTTTAAAAACTGTAAAATCTTGGAAAAAATTATGGGGTGAAAACTCTGGAGGAATCCGGGCTGTGCAAAACTTTTTGGGGTAAAATCCAAACTTTTTACTGTTCTGTGATCTCAAGCGTGTTTCCTGTAAAATTTTGATCTTTCTGAAGGTCAAGTATTGCGTTTTACCCAACACAAAATCTGCTGTATGCAATCATAAAAGTAGCAGGAGCAACGGGAAAGGGAGCAAGTGTTAAATAGTTATATTTGCCGATTTGTTCAGTGCATGAAAAATCTGGGGGGGGGGGGGGGGGGGTTATACAGAATCTTTGCTGGGGGGGGGGGGGGGGGGGGGGGGGGGGGGGGGGGGTGATTATACAGAATATTTGCATGAATGCTGAGTGCTTTTGAGAGTATGTCTCATTGAGTTATTAGGGCTTAAATATTGCATTGGTCCATAGGTCATCTTATAATGACTGCTGCATCTTATTTTTTTCAGAAGGTAAGTACAGCAGTAATAATTGTAGTTGTTGGCCTTCAAAACTGAAAATTATTTTATGATACAATTTTCATTTTCATTGCTGCATGTGAAATGCAGCTGCAAATATAAAGAGAAAGTATACCAAAGTTTCATGAATTTTTCTTTGTAAACTTCCCTGAATGATTCATTCCTTATATATGATCCTGCCTGTAAGTGCTCCAGATGTGCAAGCATAGAATTTAACTTAATTTTGAGCAGGTAGTGTAAATCTTCAGAACGATTCAGTGGTCTGGTAACTATAGTGAATGAAGTCTTCTGAATGAAATCCATTGAAGGTTGCTGAATGCCAACTGCTTCTTCGTGGAAGAAAAACTTAGTTGGACTATGTCAATACTTTTTCTTGATTCCTCTGGCTTTTCCTCTGCTTTAAACACATTAAATTGTTGAGCATTGCAATTTATCAAGTTGAAATTTCAAGATCTCAAAATGTATGAAGAAGGAGAAGATGAGGAAGAGCCTTTACCTGATTTTGAAAATGAAACCCTCAACTTCTTGGAGGATATGCGATGTGCTTACAAGGAGAAAGTGTTGCCATTGGAGCGAAAATATCGTTTTGAGGATTTCTACACCAGGCCATTGAATGATAATTACTTTGGACCCACTGCACTTGTTCTTTTGGTATGACATGTCTTCAGTTTACCTTGACTGTCTTGAATTATGACAAATATTTAAAAAGTTGTCATAAGTGTCAAAATATCATCAAAGCATTTCCTATACAAAAATTCAGGTAGGACCTATGGGATCTGGTAGATCACTTTTTGTAGCAGATTATGTTCAGAAGGATTTTGTGGCCACCAACACTAGGGCTGCAATCAATGAGCCCAATGACATCATGTCCATTGTGACCTATGGTCAGGATGATTGGGTCCTCCCTGGAGAGCGTGCTTTCAAAAGCTGTGCTTCTCCTGTTCTTGAACGCATTGGATCCCTTGTTCTTGCCAAGAAAAGCATTGCTGATAAGGTCCAAGTCATCACTTGCAACTCCCCAGCATTGCAGTATGTCACCATCATTGATTTTCCTGGAATTCCCTGGGGCACCAGGAGCAAACCACCAACTTATGAGTACTTGTCCATCTTGAAGTACTTGGCAAAGAAAGCAGACAGGATCTTCCTGTTTTTCAATGCAAGAGCTATACCTGATTGTCTGTCTCCTCATGTCTTGAGATCTTTAGACATGATGAGGTTTGCATCCTGTAATAGAACATTTTGAAGATATATTTAAGCTCTCATATAATCAGGTTCTCTGGTGAGAAAATGTCAATTGTCTACACCAAGTCCCTTGACATGGATCCAGCTGAGTTCCTGAGGAATCACACCATAGTCTATTGGACAGTTGGCACCACCATGGCATCTGTGACTCCCCCAAAGACCTATTGTCGCAAATGGAGTGAGGGAGAGTATGAAGGCATTGAAGAAGAAGAGGGAGAAGGTGAAGGTGAAGATCGAGATGCTGGAGGAGCTTCTCCAGCATCAAAGACTAAGAAATTGTCTGGGGGGAAGGGTGGAAAGGATGCCAAAGGTGGCAAGAAATTGTCTGGTGGAAAGGCTGGCAAAGATGCTAAGGCTGATAAAGACAAGGACAAGAAGAAGACATCTGCTGGCAAGGCTGGCAAAGGCAAGGAGGCAGGGAAACGCAAACCTGGTGGTGATGATAGACACAGGGGTGGTGAAGATGAAGGGGAAGAGGAGGAAGAAGGTAAAATTTATTTACCTAGGCTAAATCTATAGGACAAGACTCACATTTAACTTGTTTTCTGTAGCTGAGGATGAGGGAAATATTGCAGCAGATGCAATGATGGGAGAAGAAGAACTCATGTTTCAGCTCAAGTATGCATTCTTGCTTACCCTGCACCGCAAAATGTGGGAATTGGAACACAGAGCCAGTTTGGCACAGATCCATGCTCAGGTGCTTTCAGCCCTTGTGGAGAATTTCCCTTCATATGAGGATGAAAAGACCCAACAGAAAATCCGCTCAAAACGCATTTATGAACTGGACTCCATCTATAACCGCTTGCAATGTCAGCTTGGCCTCTTCTGTGAATACTTTCCAGACACCAGCTACATGTGGGATCACCTAATTTACCGGGACTTCAGAACCATGCAGCCACTGGATAGGTTGCTGTACTGTGGTGCCCAGGAAGTCATAAACAAAGACTTGCCTCCCATCAAAGAAAGAACTGACTACATGGTCTTCAGAGCTTACAAACATGAAGGGATCCCTCAACCCAATCCAAAGGATCAGGATGAAATTTCCTATTCTAATAGGCGCTATGATTACAGGAATAGCTACTTGAACAAGTGGGCTCTTTTCAAGCCTGCAGTCAAGTATGAGAACCTCTTCAATGAGCTCAACAAGAAACACAGCAAGGTCAATATTGTTGATGCTGATCCAGCAATAAAAATGTTCAATTTACCTGACTGGGTTGATGAGAAAATCTGGCGCATGGCAGACATTGATAGAGATGGTATGCTGGACAGGGATGAATTTGTGTTGGCAATGCATCTCATGTTCAGACGGACTTGTGGTCTTGATATCCCATCTATTCTTCCTGTTCATCTCATCCCATATGCCAAACGAATGCTGTTGATCAGTCCAGAATCAGATCTTGACCCCAGGAGGCAATTTGCTGACACACCCACTATCACAACAGCAGTTGATGCCAGTGTTGTAATGCCTGATGAGTGTGGTGATGACTTCAACTGGGCTGGAGAAAGTTCTACTGCTAGACAGAGCAAGAAATGTGTCCAGTTCAAGAGTGAAGGTGACTTCAATTATGTTAGGAAAGTGTTGGACAGCTACCGGGACAAGGATGATGAGAAGAGTATGACAAGCTTGACCAGCTGCTTGAAGCCTCCCACTGGCCGTGTTTTGTCCAATTGCTGAAGTATTATTCATGTTTTCTTTTTCTCTTGTGTTCACAATTCTCAATTTATGTAATCTTTATTCTCTATTCCTGTGTCTGTTATTTAAACAAGTTATGAAATGTATGTTATGAACTTAGATGAGATAAATGTGAATTTTAAAATAAAAATAAAAACTGAACATTTTCAGGAAATAACTTTTTTGACTTATGTATAGTTCCTAGGTGATAGTAGGTGATAGTTCCTTTTTGTAAATCTGGGATCATTGTCATTGCACATTGAAAGAAGGTGAACTATGCCTGAAAAGAACTCTGCTGATCTTTTGATTGGTGATGTGACAGTCAAGTTGAAAATGAGATATTTTCATGCCTCAGGGCTTAGACTCTGAATTATGAATATGCAAATCTTCATAGCATGAAGGGCATGTAAGTTTAGGAATTTTCCTTTTCTGGTACTGTATTTTTCCAAAAATTTAATTCACGAAATTTAATTCACATATTGAATCCTCGAGGAATTCAAAGATTTTTTTAGAAGACAACACACTTGATGCATGAAAGCACATGAACTCCACATTTTCAATCTTCATATAAATTTGAAGGTAATAATGACTTGACTTGAAATTAATGCCCCTTGTTCTACTAAAATGTCAATAATTTCGTACAATAAATGAGAAACTTGTTCCAGAAATGCTGCCGTTGATGCCTTCAACAGTAAGCATATGTCTTGTGTTATTTTTTTTTACGTACCTCAGGATTCTGGAATCATTAATTCATCGTTTTACCTGTGTTGCTTCCAAGTAACTCTGAAGACTTTTGTTGCTGGCCGAATTGTTTTCGGATCACTTTTAAGCATGGGATGAGAATATATTTTTATGGAATAAAAAAAGGAGCCGCTGTTGTAATTTAACTTCCGCTTTCTGTACTCTTATTATGGGGAAGGGTGACGAAATACTGTGGTTGTACTGTAGAGTAATATATATATTCTCCGGAGATCCATGCTCTCTTAGACTCGATCTGTAGAAGGACAGAGAACATTGCCGTTGGCGATTTCTTTTGTCCGCCTGGAGGTAGTTGCCCTCGGGTCTAGGGTTTTAACGATTGCATCCGTGAGTGATGAAGAAAGGCTTCTTCTGGGAACGCATTTCCTACGCATGTGTTTAACACGTGTTGCGCAGTTGCGCTATAGAAAACGTATTTTCTGTACAATCGTTCCGGACTTTCCCCTCGGGAAAGTTTTCCTGAACCGAGTGAACCCTGTATATACTGTTTTATATACTGTACTGTATTTGCTGTCGAGGGTTGATGGTGTGTGCGTTACGAAAATTTAGTTTCGTTGCGCTGATGAGACGAAGTTTAAAGGTTTCGTGCGGGCTGTTGACAACCGCAAGCACGCATTATTGATGGACACTACAATATTTTTACTTGATACTTGCTGTCAATCCTTTGACTTCTGTCTACTTCTACTCTGAGTTAATTTTCAATACTTTTGATGTATTTTTGAAAAAAAATTTGTGGACTAGGAATTATGCCTTAAATCTATGAAAATAAAGTAAAATTGGGCCGCGTATACATCCTGTTCATAACTCGATTGAAAAGTGCAGCTGCCCTAAAATTACGGTACCTGAGCGAATTATTTGCTTTCGCGGGAATTATCGAAGGCTATGTATAGACGTGGCATAAATTAATCGTAAATGACCTTATTTGATATAACTGGCATTCCTGCGTATATGATAAAAAAACATTTGTCTTATACCTTCAAGAACCTTTCTAAAAAAAATGTGTGAGATGCGTATTTTTTAGTTCTATGTTGATTATTTTTAAAAAATATATTTCGGTCGTTTCATGAGATTTTTGATGTTGTTCATCTATTGCCGAAGAATATGAGTTTCCATGTAACGCTGATGTTGAGTTGAGGGAAATGAATTCACCAAGAAATGAATTTAGTTGCTTTGTTTTTCCGTGTGGGTTACTGTGTAATGAATTTTTGCTACAGGTATAATCAAAGCC